GCAACTCATATATGTTGCCTTTTTTCTCAAATCAAATTGTTCGGTTTACGGTATTTTTTTTTTATTACATTATTATTATTTTCAAGACGAACGATAAGGGAGCAATGTATTCATTTTACTTGAATGTTGATTCACATAATAAACGAAACGACTGAGACATGAAAGCTAAGGAATTTAATATGTGTATCCAATAAGGAGCATTTCCAATTGGACTAACAACGCATACATGACAACATTGTATAAATAAAAGAAGAAAAAAAAAATACGAACGAAATTGATGATTTTATGTGATCTCATTTCATTCAAAGTGAAGTTCATAAATTGGAAATGGTTTAATGCATGCAATCTTGTGCAAGACTCGCTTTCCAATTTCTGATGAAATGTTGGTTATTTCCTGGATTTTGTTTGAATTTAATATGCATCATTTTGTTCATTCTTTAAAAAAAATCATTTAATTCATTGAGCTTTTCTCTTTCCCGTACGCGAAACCGATTCTTTTACATGCTACGCATTCACTCAGAAACCACATATTTTATTTAACATTAATTTTACTCGTGGGGAATGTAAATGTGGACTCAAGAGAAGAGCGGCGGAGAGATAATAAAAACCAAACCTTGCAAAATGAAACCATTAGTTGCAAAATAAATAAAAAAACCGGATGCAAGCCACGAATAATAAATTGATGTACAACATTTGCAATTTAATATCTTTCACTCAGAATAGACGGCATCAACATTGGAATTTATTAAACCAACTAAAACTTTTGTTGCAGCAGTTATTTTTATTGCAACAAAATTTAACCATAAAAGCGGAACGCAATCTCTCTCTGTGGTTCGTTCTCTAATGGATTTACACTGTTGGATTTCAGTGTCTAATATTATTGTTTGGTGTTTTATATTGCAATGTGAACAGAGAACCTTTCGTCCGCTTCATAGACAGAGCGAGCTGTCATTCAAATCAGTTTCAAATCCGATTTTTGTTTAATGAACTTATTTGTAACACTTGATGGCAGCACATATGCATATAAAAAGAGCGCTTTAAAATGAACAAACACCACTTGATTTGCATCCTCAATTCCAAATATCGGTTATCCCAAGCAAAGTGCACTCATGTATAATAATAAACAGTGTTATTAAATAGGTATATGCACAGCTATAGTCTCTCATCTCTAAATTTATTATTTCGAATCACTGTTACAATAGCAACGAGTTAGTTCACTATTTCACAATAATTTCCATATTGGATGGAAGAACCTATCCGAGTTCATAAACTAAAAAAAAAAACAAGATGAGCAATATTTCATATGTACATTTTCATCATCCATTTGTGGTTGGAAATGAATATTGTGCTTGCAGGATGGAAATTTTGTTTGGTCCAGTTGAGTTGTCATGCAAATAGTTTCGTGGTTAAATTGGCAAGATGCTTCCAATTCAATTTAAATTGAATCATTTGACACAACGTTTAAGTGTTGCTATAGCAACGAAACAAAAATAATAATACTATAAGCATAGTTGAACGCGTTTCTCTCTGTCTATACCTACTTTTTGCTTTAGTGGGCATTCATTCGTTTAATTCTCTTTTCATAAATTCAACTGGAGTTTCGTGCATGTAGAAAAAGTGACATCTTTTTATGTATGTATTTGTCTTCATTTTACATTCCAGCTCATTTCAAACTGTATCTCAGCTCATTTTTCATTGTCTTTTTGCCTTTGTTTGTCGCTTTTCTTGAAATTTTCTAAATGTGCTAAAATTGTCAAAGCGAAATCTTTTATTGCTGCTGTTTGGCGACAGAGGCAATCGTTTCTTTGCATTTGTGTCATTGTGCAAATGATCTTTAAATTTCTCATTGCTTCCTTTAATAGTCGGCCATATTACGCATTGCAAAAAAATGTTGATGACAGTAGGCATCAACGGCACCGCCAATGACATTATTTTATTCATTGAAATTGAACATGAATTGCGAGATGATGATGATGACGACAATGGCGAAGAACGAGTACTTGTTGAAAATGTATTTAATGCATTTTACATGAAGTGGATGGGATATTCCCATATCACAGTTGACAGCATTATTTACAAAAAAACACATAGGCACACTCAAAAACTTTGTCAATTCACAATTTTAATTGAATTAATTGCGAATTCTTTTGCTTGAATTAGCTTAGATTGAGCCTTTCAATTTAATTCGTCTGCTGAGCAAAATGTCTGCATTTTATGTTCGACGTCAGCAGCCGCGCGGCATCACTGATGTGGTTTTTGCATTTTAAGTTTGTTTTTCCGAAAGGGGTGAAATGGCAATTATATTCATACGATACATGAATTTACGAAAACGGTGTTTTACTCAAACACTTCGTTTATCAGCGTTTCAATGAAGAAGAATCACACATTGTACATGTTAAAACTTTGCATTTTCCCTTGATTTATTTTCTCTTTTCTTTTATTAAGAGTAATTAATATCCATAATGAATGATGAATTTACTTCAATTAAGCTTTGAAAGTGCACATTTCATTGGTTTCGATGATATTGAACAATTAAGTATATGCAGTGCATTTATAAACGTGAACAATTATTTTTTTCAGGCATAAACGATGTTCCGTATGAAATTTCGTTGTGTTTTGGATATACTTGTTCTATATCATGCTTTTCAATTTTGTTTAAATCGACCTCGTTGTCAAAAAGTTGAGACGTGGATTGTATTTTGTGTGAATTGAGTAAAAATCGAATAATTTCGAATGGGCAAAATCTAGGGGGTAGACATGATTCATTTGATTCACTGTGATTCAAAAGATTCACATTGTTTAGATGACATTTGAAATGTCATTTGTGTGTCATACAAGAAATATTTATTGAACAATTAAAATTATTTGTCTTCGAAAAAATGATTTCTTGACGTTTTTTTTAAATGTATTAACTCATTATTCTTATCTATTTCGTGTTTTTCTAGTAAATTCCAAAAAAAATCAACGATAATATTTAGAACTTGTTGAACGATCATGTTAGTAAAACCATAAATGATGCTTGTTTGACATTTGAATGATTCATTTGATTCACTGTGATTCACATGATTCAAAGTTTTATAATTCGTGTCTACCTTCTTGGGCAAAATGGTACTTATTTATACATACTTTTCAATGGTTGTAATTTAATGAACGTGTGGAAATCGATATACCGCTTTCTCCCTTTCCCTTTCGCATGTTTTCCCTTTTAAAAATGTGTTCATTATTCATACAACCAAAACTGTTCAGTGAATATTGTTCACATATTGTCGTTAAGTGTTCATGTGAATTACAATCATCATGTTATAACAGAAGATTGAAATTCATTGCCACACTTATCACATTAACTCACTTCTACGTAAAATAATTTTTTTCCGCTTGCGGCAAACGTCGTTATTTGGACTTTATTTCCCATGTTCCCATAACGTCAAAATATGAAATAATAAAACACATAACTATTGTTAGCATATATGCATTGAATAGTACGTTACATAACATAAAAAAACATCAATGTGATTATCAAAATTTTAAAAGTATTCTCATGTGAGAGTGATTTTTCACATTGAAAGCGAACCACGTACATCGTTTAGGGAACTGCGATACCACCGCTGTAAACAATATAATTTATTGTGCATCCTTGTAAATCTTCGCGAAACCAGAAAGAATAATTTCAAATCTATGTGAATGGAATCTTCGTGAACCCCTTCAATTGTGCAGCTAAAAAAAAAGTCCCGTTCAATGCCTACCCTCAAGCTTTTCATCTAGTCTAAGTGCCATGAAATAAGCTCCGTTAAAGCGTTTATTCTGCATTTTTTAAACTTCACCGTCTCCTTCTCCGTTTTTGTCATCTCGTCTTGAATCTTATGTGAATTTTTGATTATTGCTCAACCATGTGGATGAAAGTATCTCTCAGGTTGTGTGCAAGTATGCGACTTATGCTATTTTCCTGTCATGACTTGTAAATTCTTAAAATCCATTTGCGTGTATCCATTTTTTAAAATATATTTGCACATTTTAAATGAATTGTATGTTGTGTTTTGCTCATTTTTCTCTCTTCAACTCGGTTTGGTACTTAGTTTCGTATTATTTACATAGCGCTGAATTATGTAAGCATTTCGTATCGTCAATATAGCAGTAGGTTTCAGGCACTGGTTTTTGCATATAATCATCGATGCTTCGTAAAAATATTGGGCGAAAATGTCGACGTGGCGTGGATCGTGGTAGCAGCTTAGCTGTAACAATTATTAAGTATGCCCTACGTTAATTTTGTTGTTGAACGAATGGTTCAACCAAACGTTGTAATTGTAGAAAGCCAACACGAAGTGGTGGAGGTTATAATTTATTAATTTTAATATTCTGTATATATGCAAAACATCCAGAAATATCCATGCTTATCATTTGTGTGCATAGACCACAGGCACTGGTGGGCATTCTTTTATTTTCGATTATCATCCATTTGGCAGACAGACGCAATATCCGGACACCTTTTTCGAAGTCATCAAGCACTGCTTCGGCATTGAAAATTAATACAATGATTCATTTACAATTTTCATTTTGTGCTTTTAATCCCGCATTATGCTTTGTTATAAACATTAAACAAAGGTTATGATAAATACCTCAGGTGAAAATGACTTTTGTGTCAAATCGATTTTTTTTAATTCACCCGATATCCGTATTTATTTTAATGCTCAATATTCATTATTCAATAATAATGTAATATAAACACAGCAAAGGTATATTACACACATTTATAATGTGCAAATTTTGAAATAATTCATATTTGTCACGTTGACGTCCAAAAATATTTCATAACCAGATGCATCAAAATCGATTCTGTCATGCATATGTCTGATATTTTGGTTATATTGTTCTTTTGTTTATCTCCCCATTCAATGATATATTTTCGTTTGTTCATACATATAACAAATATTGTGTTTAATCATAAATGGAATTTATTTTTAAAACAAAAAATTCTCTCGTTTTTTTTCCAACTTTACTTTCAGATTGACAAAATCTGACTGGTAAAAGAGAAAAATTGAAACGTCAAAACGGAAAGACGTAACATTCCGCATCGATTATTTAAATCGTTTATAGAAATTTCTGTTGCGGAAATTCAACCAAAATCAAATGCAAATTTAAAATGCAACCGACATTGATAAGTCGTTAAAGTAAACACACTGCATCGCAAATTCTATCGCCGTAAGCTATCTGTTATATAACTCGGAAATAAACATAAAAAAATCTAACTAACTAAATCACAAAAATCGAATTGATGCGAAGAACACGGAATAAAAAAACGGAGCAAATAAAATCGAAACGAATCAAGAACACACATACCCATACATATAGTCACCAAGGATCCACTTCAATAAACATAAAATTGTTATATTGCATCAAATCGAAATGTCGTAAGAACAGTAGAAGTGAAGCTGAAACAGCGTAACATCAAGCATATAAAATGCTTGCATTGCACACGAAGACACAAGAGATAGATTGTGTAAACGAAAATATGTGTCAGGACGAATGTCAATCAAATAAATTGCAATAAATTTTGTCGTGGTATATGCACGAACGAACCGAAGAAATTCAACGGAGAAAACGAAGTTGATGAAGAAGAACAAGAACCAAAGTGTTATTTATAGAAAGAGAAAAAACGCATTTTGACTATATTTGCATTAATGTTTCCATATGGATATAACAAGTGCGGAAAAAGAATTGATTTAATATTTGGTTTTGATTCTGGTTATTGCATCATCACATTATTTTCAACCATACCGGATGCAATCGCAATTTATAGTCGTTGACGCAGTAACCAAAAACGAAACGAACAACAGTGATTGGTTTGGAATGAACATAATCTGTGTTCACAACTGAAGTTCATTTGGAAAGTAATAATAATAACGCGTGCCAAACAAATACAAAACATAGCGGCGGAAGAATAAAGAAAGAGAGAGAGAGAGAGAGAGAGAGAGAACGAAAAAACATTGCCATCGGAAATTCAATTCAATCGGAGCATTTCAATAAAGTGTACCAATTTCCATTTTCACAGAACGGAACAGAATTTCCGCAAACAAGCAACCAACTCTAATTGCAACGCGGAAAAGTTTCACGTACAAGTTCATCCCGAGTAAACCGAAGAACGTCGTTAAACGATTAAACTTCGAAGCAATTTTTTATATTCGTTTTGCTGTGGGTGCCATTCACGTTCCGCATCCTTTATAAAATACAATTAAACTCATGGAAGTAACTACTCTCTACTCTGATACACCACCGGTACCGATTTGCTGTGTATATTCTGATAACAATTGAACACTAACTTGAACTAAATAAAGTGAAAATAAAATAAAAATATTAATAAAAGAAGAGAAAGAAAAATACATACAAAAGTTAACAACATATACCTTATACTTAATAAAATTTTAATTTTAATTTAATAAATAAAAACGTTTGAAATATTTACTCCATACATAAATTTACCTAATAAATCGAACGTTAAACATAAACAAAAATCAATTCAAATAAATTAAAGCATTAAACGAATCTGTCTCGCACATAGATACAAATCAATTTAAATTGAATGAACAAAGTTTTAATCCATTGATCATTACAGCAGTATAAAATCCATTTAAACAAGTGAATAAAAGCCAATTTTGAATAGAGAAGGAATGATAGAGATGAACGTTTATTTTTTAGATTCGTAAAATTTAGAGAGAAAAGTTTGAACAAAACAAAATAAATCGAAACCGATTACACTTAATACAAGCAGCCATTTAATACTAAAATAAATACCAAATTCATATATAAATATATATATATTTTAGTCATTTTGTCAAGGAAAACGTTGCGCTTAACCAATTCAAAAACAAAAAATTAATTATAAAATAAACAAAGGCAAACAACCTTCAACAATTGAAATTAATATAGCGGTGTGGGTGTTTATTGGTAAAACCTAACATTTTCCAAATCATATAATACCATGCAAATCAATCAATAAAACTCGAGTTTTTGTGTAAAGGCATTGAATTTACATTTATATGGTCAAAAATCAATCAACGTGGAATTCAATAAAGTGTGAAATTTAATCAACACAAACAAATCAACCAACCAACTAAAATAGAATAAACTGTAGAAATAATTGAGAATTTCTCACAAAAACCAATTCAAAGCATTTTTTGGAATTGAAAACATATTATATATCGCATATGAAACAAAAAGTAGATAAAATATTTGTTCAAATTATATGTTTACATTGAAAACAAAAAAAAAGTATTAGCAACATACATGCTATAGAATTTGAATAAAAAGGGAGATAGTGAAAGAGGAAGAGTGCACATTTAATGTCATTTTCAATCACAAAAATACACTGAATTAATAAACACCAAAGTAAAAAGGGTGCGAGAAGCGGCAGCAGAAGAAAAAATCAACGTATATAATAGAGTTGATGGTATTTCATCTAAGTAGTGCTAAATGAAATAATAAACTATTTTTATTAGATAATGCTATTAAATGTTTATAACAATGAGTAAAGCTATTTTAAAGTGACGTGAAAAAGACATTAACACATGAAGTGAACTATAAAGTCGTTGTGGCGGAAACGATTTCAAAAATTCTGTGCAAAAGAAGTAATAATACAATATATATACATATTTGTATAGAGTTTCGGTGCGGTGAGAAAGTGAAATTGTCCACGTTTTGATGAATGTTAGTGACTTGATATTATTAAATATTTACAAAAGTTAAATGTGAAAAGCTACGGTGTGACGAGCAGCAAAACGATTTTCACTGAAACGCAAACCGAAACGGTTTGCTAAATAGCTCAAAACGAATAATTATTATTGTGAAAGACGGGAGTGAAAAAAGAGAGACATAGATAGAAAGACATAAGCGCGATAAAGTTAAATCAACATGGCGTTGGCAAATATTTTACTGCACACCGTCATTTTTCTGCACATTAAATGTGCCATTATGCAGAGACCGACAACGGGGAGTGACAATAATCCGACGGAATTTAATATTGGAGGTGTGCTGAGCAATGACGAAAGTGAAGCTCATTTTCACGATACGATTGAGGTAAGTTGAAAAAATTTAATTTGTTTGGCTTTTTTTCTTCAAAAACATCCTGCATCAAATTCATTCACCTGCATACCGTTTACTTCATTCAAAATCTGTAATTTCTTGTTCACAATTTTCACATCATTCACATTTCATTTGGATGAATAATTACCATGACACGCACTATTTCATGCCATTTATACTCTTTAAAATGCGCGAAACAAGTGCCAGAAATCTAATTAAAAGTTTAATTTGATGTGAATGCCAATAGCTAACAAAATTTTCGATACGCAATCCTCGTGTTCCGGCGCATCAATATTTTCACATTGAAATTTACACAGTTGACATTCGATGCAAGTACAATGTATTCAAAATCGATCAAAATGAATATGCTGTGAAATGTTTGGCCAAAAATTAATCAATAAATAACATTAAGGTTGTTCGAAGAAAGTTGCAATCGCATTAAGTGCAATAACGAACGTCACATCACATTTCAAACGCAGTCACCGAAATTGATGTTGGCAGGTTCGACTTTAGCAAACTTGAATGGTGATTTTTAACATTTCAACGAACACAACAGCTTTCATCGTCATCCATCCGGTCGAATGCATCCATGAAAAATGTTCATGTTAATTAAATTATTGAAATTTTTGTTTCATTTTCATTGGCACACCATGAACGGATATGAATCATCGCCTATTTATCGACTGATGTACGTCTGCAACATTCTACAATATCGTACATGTGGGAATCGGCTACTGTTTCATGTATTTTGATGAGAACAGCATCTCAACTTTGATCACCAATACGTGCCAAAGGGGTACGCTTACTACGATAAGAAAATTCGCATAGACCAGAATCCTATAAAGACCGCCCTTAATGTGTGCAAGCAACTCATCTCGCAAAAGGTATGTAAAAATTATATAACATATAAGTCATACTCAAACTCTTTTCTTCATCATGGATATGTGTGTACATTAGGCATATACACATTAATTATTATTGTTATAATATTCATCCAACAAACTGAATTCATCTGACAGTGAACATTTATAAAATTAGATTTAATCTTTTTGTTACTCTCTCGACGCCAATGAAACGATGTAAAGGATTTAAGCGGCAGCCAATTTTTCACTTGACGTCCCTCCCTTCCTCTCTTCCATTTCTCATATTCACTCATTCCCTTGCAAATGATAAATATATATTTTGTGATACGCTTTATCCTATAAGAATTTCCATTAATACATATTAATACCATTTTGGTATCTAGTAATGAAAGCGGCACGTACTCACACGCTTGCTCTTAATTATCATGGAAATTTTGCCAAAAAGAGATGGAGTGAGACAGCTCATCCATATCCGGGAACTTTGGTTTCAGTTGGCAACGGCTTTTGCACAATATTAAAATTAATAGTTTTCCATTTATATCGCTTTAACATATGAAAATTGCTTAACCTCACAATAAGCACTCTTAATAGTTCACAACGTGAATCGAACGAAATGTGCATATATAAACGGATGACAAAAACAACAATAAAAACATCTGTCACATGAACATACAGAGAGACAGACAGTGTGACACAGAGAGACAGACAGAGAGAGAGAGAGAGAGAGAGAGAGAAGAAAAAACTCAACCAGTTTGTTTTGCTTTGTGAAATTTACATGAAAAATAAAATGTCTTACATCCGTTAGATGAACTTTTCCGCACTGTGCTCCACGACATGCATTACAAATATTTTGCTGTAAATTAGAATTCACGAGAAAACTGAATCTGACGTTAGTTTTGCCATACGAATAATTTCCGACACCATAAATTTGGATTTTGTAGGGTTACCATGCCAATATTATATAGTATACCACATTTTTGTATTAAAAGAGTATTCAAAATTATTTATATCGCAAAACTTCGATCAGATTCGGTTCTTCAGAACTTTACCCCATCAACCAAAGTCGCTTAAAATCTAATGGTTTCTATTTCTCACAACCTCCTGTGAAGTCATATTTTGAACTACGTTTCTGGGGCGAAAGTTCACGTCTAGGTTATCGTGTTAACACATTTTGGCTTACAGCGTACAGGGTACGCACATATATTACTATATACAAAACGACTGATTCGTGCTCTCTGGCCCCGAAAAAAACATTTGTGTGGTCTTCGTATTTTGACCAATTCTAATACTTTAACTTACACACTCGGCGTGTGCGGAAAAGTAATAGTAAAGATCCATGTAATATTTTGCATATTTTTCACTTACATGTTTCGAATATCTTCTCCAGCATATTTTACATCCGTTGGTATGCTCGAGTGCCAGTCATACTTCCTTAGTATTCTGTTCAATCTTCATTCCTCCACATCCCCTGTAAAATATTTGGCCAATGCCTTACGTGCGCTGTGTGTATTCTACTAAGTGAATGTCTAACATAAGAGCATCCAACTGTTTCAGACTTAATAATGAAATTGTAAACTTTTGGCACCTCATTAAAACTCAATTGCATGCTCGCTCGTCCATTTGCATATTTTCGCACATAACAATGAATCGCCCGAATCCGTTTTGATTAGATTTTTTTCTGGAAGGTAAAAGCCTCTGGCTCCGGCTGCTCGGCTGTTGGTTGAAATTTTGGTAAATGTTTATTGTGTGTTTTGAAAGGCTACAAATCATCACAAACGAACGCTTTGCACACATATACCCGCTCGCATGGGTGAACGCATGTAAAAGAATAGAAAGAATGAATGAATGAGTGTACCTCTCTGTGTGTAACATGTAATATGTGCCAACCTCTCCAACTTTGACCGGTTTGAATGCATACTACATGTATATTATACATCGGAAAGCTCCGGCAAATATGTTACGGAAATGTATTTACGAGCAAATATTTCAGTTTGGTGTCTATTTGCCATCTGAATAATTATTACGAGCTTCGAGCAAATTCTTTTTTTTTTTTTCATATTTCCCATTTTCGTTTTGGCATTTCATTATCTGGCAAATAGGAGCGTGTATGTAGTACTGTGTGAAACTGTCAAAGACGCCACACATCATTCCAAACGTGCTTGTTGTTACATTTACCTTACGCCTTTGTTTATTCAAGCTACTTCTGAAATGGCAACGAACATTTGAATGGAAGCCAATGTGATTCACTCTCTTTCTCGACAAAAAAATTCTAATTCGCAATGTGTACAACAACTGTTTGTAAATTTTCTCGTATCTATTTGTTGTTGGTTTGTCACAGCATTGGAATGTCACATTTCATTAAAATGTATCATGCAAGACACAATATCGTATGTGACTGAATGTATATATATATATATATGCGCGCTGAGGGCGATATTCCTGTTCTCGTTCATTTAATTCAAACAAAATCAATTACCATTTACATCTTCATGGTATTTGTGCACGATGCTGTTATTCACTGCAGCCAGCCAAACACGTACGTACTGCTTTTTACCACTTCGTGTTTCCATTAAAACAATGTTGCGTGCACACACAAACGGCATTTTTGTTGGTGTTGTTTCTCTTTCTCCGAGTCTTTCTCTCTCTTTTTTTCAAAATTCACTCACCAGCGTCACATCTTAATAATTACACTATTATTTTAATGTCTCGGATCATTTCGCTATTGAAACCACAATATGACATGGTTAACATGTCTTGGTTGATAATATTCAATGCAATGCGTTTCCTAATTTGTGGTGTTATGTTCAACGCTTTTGAAGACATGCACAAATGTGTTTACCCATAGATTAATTTATAGATTATTCTATCTACATTTATTGATTCATTCTGACACAGTTTAATGTTGAGCACTAATTTAACTTTGACATAGACACATACACGCGCGCGACTGTGGCGGTAAAGTCAATGAGCTCAATATAAAATGTAACGACAAAATCGAATCATAAACTCGAGATATTACGCATTTTAAGCTTGTTTGTCATATACATTCATCTCTTTTTCCCGGATTCTGTCAATTTTATAGAGCATCAACGTTGTCGTCGTCTTTGTTGGTTTTTTTTTTATTATCGCATCAGTCATAAATGATGCTGTGCGAGAACAAAGTCGTAAACATGTATAAACGATCAAAATAGAGAAAAAAAATAGCTAACCCAATCAATTTTTTTTTTCGTTTCTTAAACAAACATTTTTATATTGCTCTTCATCTGGATTGGAACGTTTTCCTGTTTGTCATCGTATGTTTTTCTTGCCTTTGGAACAATACCAAACGAAAATTGGTAAATCACTCGTCAAATGATTGGTCGCTATACATTGGGACATGCTTAGGTTTATGTGGTAGTTGTTTCACATGAAAAAACTGGTGAATTGTCTACGGCCGCAGTCAGCTACACATCAGGATTCTATCAAATACCCGTTATAGGCATATCATCACGTGACGCAGCATTTTCTGATAAAAATATTCATGTATCCTTCCTAAGAACAGTACCACCATACTATCATCAGGCCGATGTTTGGCTGGAGATGCTCGACCACTTTGGCTGGACTAAGGTAAATTTATGAAAATCATAATAATAATAAATAGGAAATTCTGTCTTTAATATGCTCGGTTCGCCTTTTCCCTTCATAATTTAATTTCTGCTTTGCCATCATTTTTTTCCTTTTCGTCACCCATTATCTCACATTTGCGATGTCGTTCCTCTCTCCATTCCTTCAATGATGGCATCAACTATCTTTTATTTTTTTCACTCATTGAGAATAATTTTATTTACTTGCTTCGGCATTCAATTTTTCGTTTGTTCCACGAAGCGCTTGTAATGTTTGAGAATATTGAGATATTTCAGCAGCTACCACACCCATCCCATCTTATATTTCATTGATTTTGAATTTTCATTCTTGATATTTACGTCACATCATCAATATACATATAAATTGATACCAACGGAAAATGGAACTGTTTCGCCATTCTCTTGCTTTCCATTATTATGATTTCATTTCAAGTAAATTGAAACTGATACTATCCGTTGTAATGTTTGGGTGTTTCTTGTTGGTGTTGCACGCTTTTTCTATTGAGGGTGATATTTTATTGTCCAAATTTTCATGTCAAAAACTTCCTCTTTCTACTTCTATCCTATTCCAATAAATCACTTTCAAACATCATCAATATCATAGAATGCCTCATGCGCACCACACTGTTTAAGACACAGTCCTGACGAACAGCAAACGCAATATCGACGAATGTCGGAGAAAGTGAACCAAAGCTATATTCTTCTAAATTTTAATGAATGCGACCTTTTGTTTCCAAATAAATCAAATATTTTGGTTGGTATGGCCTTTCTCTTTTTCCGGCGTGATGTGCGACGGCTGTTTTTTTCCCTTCGTTTCTTTTCAATCTTCATTTCTTAGGTTTTCACTTCCTTTTGTTTGCTTTTTTTGTTAATATTATCGTTTGCACAATCGGTAAATGGTGAAAATTGTCACACATTTTGTTGCAGGTCATCATTATTCACTCGTCAGATACAGATGGGCGAGCTATTTTAGGACGATTCCAGACGACCTCACAGACCTACTATGATGATATAGAAGTGCGAGCAACAGTCGAATCCATTGTTGAATTTGAACCAAAATTGGACAGTTTTACGGAACAATTGATGGAAATGAAAGCGGCTCAGTCTCGTGTTTATCTTCTTTATGCAAGGTAAGAGGATTTTGTAGTCTTTGGAGGTGTATTTCTCATCGGAGATTTTATTTTTGCATACCAAATATTTCGATAAATAAATATTTTGCGTCTTTTTTGGATGGCGTATTCTGTGACACCCGATGTGGTGACATGGATGAAAAACGATAGTTAGTGACAATTTATTCAGCATAATTTTGCAATTTAAGTCTTTTGTCACGAACTAACCCGATCACAAATCACTTGAATATTTGTGATTTCGGTGTCATTTTATGTCACACATTTGAATCCACACATACCAAATAAGGCACATACAATTCGATTATTATTGACCGTAATCTTATTTTATGCCAATAGTAAAGAGGATTCCTATACGATATTCCGTGATGCGGCCGCCTTAAATATGACAGAATCGGGTTATATATGGATTGTAACCGAGCAAGCATTAAACGCAAACAATACTCCAGGTACTCTCGTCAATGAACAATTTTGAATGCGATCCTTTTGGTTCGGTTCTACATGCATCAAGCTTTTGCTTACTTTCATTTTCAGATGGTGTGATTGGGCTTCAACTTGTACATGCCAAAAATGAAAAGAACCACATAAAGGTCAGTATATTATAAAAATTGATAAAGAAAGGGATAGTGAGGTAGAGAGAAATTATGAACAGATTTGTTTACATTTTCCAACATGTTGATATGATGTTGAGAGTGATGGCAATTTTCTTGCAAACAAAAACGAGATTTAAATTAGGCCCGCTTTTGTTTGGTCCATGCTCCATGGTTTTGTTAAATCAATTTCTACCCAAAACTCTTTCTACAGGATAGCGTTTATGTTTTGGCATCGGCGATTAAAGAAATGATGATTAACGAAACAATAACCGTGGCACCAAAAGATTGCGATGATTCGGGTACAATATGGGAAACAGGTACGTGTTTCAGCATCATTTATTTTATTTGACACCTTTCGGGTGTGCCTTGAATTTTCATACAGACAAAAAAAAATGGCATTTTCGTAGTCCTCATTTTTCATGCAATTTTATTCACGTAAAATAGCTGCCATAACGATGACAAAATGGGGTTTCATTAAAAGTGAAAGACATTTTGTGAATTGCTTGTGTTGTGTTATGGTTATTACTTTTGTTGGTTGGTTGGCAACGATGATGGTGGTTTAGCTAGTTTTGTGTGGGTTGTATGAAACCATTTTGTTATAATCGTTGTTTTTATTGTATGCAAGCAGCGTGGTTGCAATGAAAAGTTATGCCATTTCATAACCGGACAACTACCATATTTTCAATTTCAAAAATTCAATTTTCAAAGTTTTCCTTTTACCTTCAGCTTGTTAAGTTTTCTTGCGACATATTTTTTTTTTCATTGCATATATTTCTCTAACATTTTGCATATTCCATATCTTGTCGGCGAAAAAAAAATTAGGTCGTCGTATATTTCACTATATAAAAACGCGCAACATTCGCGGTTCAACGGGACAAGTTGCTTTTGATGACAATGGTGATCGAATGTTTGCCGAATACGAAGTGATAAATGTACGAGATCGACAGCATAAAAAAATTGTCGGAAAGTTGCTGTACGATACAGTATGTAATTTTGCAGACGGATTTATTCATTCAATCGTCGAAAATGAATGCTTTATCCTTGGCTATAAAACACCAGACCACTAGACAAATGAAAAAAAAAATCATCTAAATATGATAAAGCCAGAAAAAAATCAATATTCTACTTTCCATTTTGGCTGAAAATAGATTTATTGAGAGAAATGTAAAGCAGACACTTTAACCAATGGAAAGCATTTATTTTTGTCGATTTCTTTTTTTAATTCGCCTCATCATTTATTTAAATTGCTATCTTCTCCGTCTTTTTTCTCTCTTTCGGTTAACACATACTCAATATGCTAAATGTGTCTGCCTGACTATCGAATTAAAAAAAATGATAATAGGAAAAGCAAAAAATGCGACTCCGCATCAACGATAATGAAATTCTGTGGCCGGGCAAAGAGGCGAAAAAGCCAGAAGGAATAATTATACCACGACATTTGAAAGTGCTGACGTTGGAAGAAAAGCCATTCGTTTATGTGCGTCAATTGGGCGTTTTTGGTAGTAGTGGCAGCAATAGTGGCATTGATAGTGGAAATGGTGACGATGCAACTCATATGTCACCAACGCATTGTGAAGACAACGAGGTTCCATGTCCATTGTTCAACACAACCGATGGCACATCAAATGATTACTGCTGTCGTGGTTATTGCATTGATTTACTGCGTGCACTTGCCATTCGCATCAATTTCACATACGATTTGGCATTGTCGCCAGACGGCCAGTTTGGCAATTATATGTTGAAGAATGTGTCATCGCTGAAGGGTTCGGGCGTGAAAAAGGTATGGACTGGACTGATTGGCGAAGTTGTTGGTGAACGTGCCGATATGATCGTGGCACCATTAACAATTAATCCTGAGCGAGCCGAATTCATTGAATTCTCCAAACCATTTAAATATCAAGGAATTACCATTCTTGAGAAGAAACCATCACGATCCAGTACACTCGTATCATTCTTACAACCATTTAGCAATACGCTTTGGATTTTGGTCATGGTTTCTGTGCATGTTGTTGCATTAGTACTGTATTTGCTGGATAGATTTTCACCATTCGGTCGATTTAAATTAACAACAAACGACAACACCGAAGAGGATGCATTGAATTTGAGCTCAGCCATTTGGTATGTATTGATTTTATGGTTTTGTTAAATTGAAATTTTCCTGATATACGAAATAAACAAAATCTGAATGAGACAACAATCATATTCAATTTGTATTTTGTATTGACCACTTGACATTGTGTAGGTTTGCGTGGGGCGTTTTGTTAAATTCGGGTATTGGTGAAGGTACACCACGAAGCTTTTCAGCTCGAGTGCTTGGTATGGTTTGGGCGGGTTTTGCAATGATTATTGTCGCATCCTATACTGCCAACTTGGCGGCTTTCCTCGTGTTAGAGCGACCCAAAACCAAATTGAGTGGCATCAATGATGCTCGTTTGCGTAACACAATGGAAAATTTAACGTGTGCAACTGTCAAGGGATCAGCCGTTGATATGTATTTTAAACGGCAAGTCGAACTATCAAATATGTATCGAACGATGGAAGCAAATAACTATGATACCGCAGAAGATGCTATTGAAGACGTTAAGTCAAAGTAAGAACTTTTACAATTATATTTTGATTCAGCAACTTGAAACTTTGAATTTAATTTACTTCAACATCACTCAACAATGTTCAAAGCCATGTCAATTACATTTCAATTCCGGGTACCAATATTCTATATGAGTTTTTTTTTTATGCGTAGTAAATTGATGGCTTTCATATGGGACTCATCGCGTCTAGAATATGAAGCGGCTAAAGATTGCGAATTAGTAACAGCTGGTGAGCTTTTCGGACGCAGTGGCTATGGCATTGGATTACAAAAAGGTTCGCCATGGACGGATGCAGTTACGTTAGCTATTCTCGATTTTCATGAAAGTAAGTTCATCATTTTTCTCTCCTTCACTTGAATTCAATTTGATTCATTTACTCGATTAATTAAAATTCTTTTGCCTATGTTTCGTGTGCTTTGCAGGTGGATTTATGGAGTCACTTGACAAACAATGGATATTACATGGGAACATACAAAATTGCGAACAATTTGAGAAAACACCGAACACACTTGGATTGAAGAATATGGCGGGGGTATTTATATTGGTTGGTGCTGGTATCGTGGGTGGAATTTGTTTAATTATCATTGAAGTAGTTTATAAGAAGCATCAAATCAAGAAGCAAAAGCGAATCGAACTTGCTCGTCATGCGGCTGACAAATGGAGAGGAACAATCGAGGTAAATTGAAGAATGATTGAATTTAATTGAATCAGCATAGTTGTTGAATGTATGTAGCTCGAGAGATTTTCATATTGGCAAAGTTATGACATTTAATTTGATTCATCAATTACAGAAACGGAAAACGTTGCGTGCATCATTGGCAATGCAAAGGCAATACAATGTTGGTTTGGGTACATCAAATCCAGGCACAATTAGTTTAGCTGTTGATAATCATCGATATGCGCGAATAGCACAACCGCGTTCAATTCACACCGTTCCGGAAAGAGCGTGGCCGGGTGAAACTGATGCAGTTTTACGTAATCGCCGTTTGGAAAATGATAACAACAAAGGACATTTTCGAAAACTTCCACCGCCCCGATATTCATCTGCCTACACAACTGATGTGTCGCATCTCATTGTTTAAACACAATGAACAACTTAAATTAAATTGCATGCAATTAGGTCAACGTTTTACATTTTAAGGAATTCATTAAGTGAGAATATTGAAAATGGAAACGGTAAATATTATATTTTTTTGGTGTAAGGAGCGAATATCAATATGAGAATTATTTTACAGTATGTAGTATACAAAGACAAGGTGATTGATCATTTTAATAGCCAAAGGTCAGCAGAGAAGGGAAAGAGTGTATACATAAATATAAAATACACATACATTTTCAACCAAACAGTAAATATATTCGAACACTTAAATTGCCTATTTCCAACGATTTACAACAATAGTAGTATATAGAAACGTACAAATAAAATCTTATAATCATATTTATTGTTGTCAAACCAATTGAGACTTTTTTGCAAAATAGAAAATGTTGTGATACGACATTTTTTTTATAAAAAAATAACGGCAAGACGTTTGAATGCTTTGAAGTGCACGAAGTTACTCTGCTTATAATGCAGATGGCAATTCAATCATGAAACACCGATCCAAAATCCACTTAATCCAATTTCAATTCCATTGATAAACATTCGTAAGAAAGTATGACACATAATTTCAAAATACGATGAATGAATACTTTGATTTCCAAATGAAATCAGTTCACTGCAAATGGTTTGAATACGAAGGAATTTAACTTGGTTAAATTTATTCGAAAGTATTTGTATAATTAATGTGAACACAATGAAGGAGTGTAAACTGAAGTTTCCGTCGTGTCATTGCCGGCAGTGAGGTTGAATGATGAAAATATTTTCTCACTCGAAAAGTACTTAAATACATTTAAGTTTGTATGCCTTCCTTTGTATATTTGGATTACATTTAACTTTAAAAACTTTTTAATCAAAAGTAGGGGATTGAAATAAGCAAGCGATTGTAACCACAATTGTTATGCACATACAGTAACACACACACACATACACACACATTGATTACGGATGAATTTGTATTTCGTTTACTTTATATTTTATGTTGTAATTTCAGTGGTGGCAAGAGCAATAACCACAACATCTTCGATTTTTATTCATCTGGAAAGTGTTTACGCCGCAAAATATCAACAATCTTACACTTTTGCTAATTTGAAATACGAAAAAAGTCGTAAAACTGTAAGTAAAAACCTCAACACCATTGTATAACACTATACAATATACAAATTCATTATCAACTGTATTAATTTAAAATGATTTTGTGTTAAGCTGCAATTTGAAATTGAACTCAAATAAATAATTTATAAGTACACGCGATAAATGCTTTAAATTTCGAAAAACACTCAAGCTAACCCATTTACTTGATGCTGAAATTGACGCTATCAATGTCATTCGAGTTAATTGTTTTCGTTATTCTTTTTATTTTGTGTACCTACGCAAATTTTCATAAGTAATGAATTTTGTGGTGGATTTCCTGCACTAATGAAAAGGCTCACATTTATATATTGCACATTTTCTGGGAAAGCCCGTAAACACAAAACCCAAATCTTTAATCCATCCGATTCTATTTTCATTATTCTCAATCCCAAAATAATTGTTTATTCCATTTTATTAGAGAGAAAAGAGCGAACGAGCGAAAGAAGATGATATGAAAATAGAAAAAAGAAGAAGGATAAATAATACGTGTTTAGTCTCACTCAAATTAGCCGTGATTTGCACGCCAATTTTTCATATTCAATGCGCTTATTTTGAATTAGACGAAATGAAATGAATTGTTTATATAAGTGACATAACAAATGACATAATGAATGAATTAACAACAACAACCAATCTTTTTAGAAACATTTAGCAACGATATTAGCGTTATATAATAATATATCGATATATATATAAAAAATTGTAGTAAACGCAATAATGATGATAAAATGAATGTGTCATCAATGTGTGAGAGAGTTGAACGTTTCATGTATTGGCCTAAACTAATATATACATTATAATAAAATACTCTTCGAAAGCCGGAGAGTATTATCACCGAAGAAGAAGGAGTAAAAGCCTACTTAGTCGTTTTCTCTCCTCTATTTCCCATTTTCTCTCTGCATATTTCTCGAAACTCCATTTATCTTAATTAAATGTTTTAGAAAGCCATTTTTATTTCTAACTCTCACACCATCCACACAAACACACAATGGTATTGCCTATTATTATATCTACCAATCTCCTGTAAAGATGTTCAAATTAACGACAAACAAACTGTACCCCACCCTCCCCATGGATTGAATGACAATGCAAAGACATGAAAAACCAACCACCCTGATAATAGCAGAAATTCGTTTGTAACGACAACGAAATGATGCAAAGTACCTTTTTTTTCTTCTATGCCCGTTTCGCATATGACCCAAATCCCAACAAATATTTTGATATTATTGCTTGCACGGCGTAGTCAGGGAAAAATCAGGGTATTTTAATTATCAAATTTTTTAGATTATAACAAATGAAACAAACAATTCTGTTTTGGCCAAAATGCTTTGAAAAAAACACAAACATAACACATACTCAAACATCTCCATTGAACGCTCAGTCCAATCGTGCACAGTCTTGAACAAAAAAGAAAACAAAAAGAAAAAAACAAAATACAAATTGCTGCAAATGGTAATTATATTTATTATAGATTTTGTTAAACATTTATGTGAGATGCGTGAATATTTGTTTTGATGTAAAAGAGGAATATTTTTGAGATTATGTAAATAACATTGTAAAAAGTGTTGGAGGCAAAGCGATGTTACCCTTGCCTCGAGCGGATCTAACAGCAGGATAACGAATGTTCTAACCACAGGATCGAAGAAAACAATATAACTCTCTACCATATGCCACATAGCATAGATTTAAAGTAGAAGAAAATCACATTGAAAAAGCAATAGACAGTTGACAAAACAAAAGGAAATTCCGCACACGCAACAAGAAGAAAAACGCCAAAAACCAATATAATTGTAATGAATTGAATTAAAAATGAACATGAGTGTTTTATAGTAAAAAGGATGTTAGATTTTGGATTTATTTTTAAGTGTATTTTCTAAAATGGGAAATAGCATTTGCTAAGAACCATCATGTATTTGTTGTTTGTTTGTTAAAAAAAAGAATGTATTTATGTATTATTTTTGATGAAAACCATTCATCAAATGCTAAATCGTGCTGTGTTTCAATGGAATGATCATTCAATGACAAATGTTTTATAGTAATACTTACAAATATTCGGATTTTCCGAGCATTTTTTCTCCATCTGATGAAAGTCCCTGTATTATTGCATGAAGAAAATAACGTTCTTGTTCAGATATCCAAATGTTCTTTTGACGCTTCAAAACTATAGAAGAAGTTTGGATTTTTTTACAAACTTCAAAGTTTTTCTGGACCCTTTTAAAAAGACTTTGACAAAAAAAAACAATATACATCAATCGAAATCGATTGCTACGGATCCGAAGTAACTACAGTCAATTGCTTATTAGTGAATTTTGTGAATGGAAAAAAGTTATCTATAGCCAGACGTCAAAACTTGTTTAGTCTTTTTTCACAAGGTATTCCACCTTTTTTCAAGTGTGAAGCGTAAAGAAAACTTTTGTTTATTGTAACACTACTCTTTCATGCGAAAAAGGGGACATTTCAAGCGAATTTTTTGAATAGTTTAAAAATATATGCATGCCATATTTTTTGTCAGTAAGGTTTCGATTTATTTTTCTCTTCAACAAAATGATGTTTTCACTTGCAAAAAAGCAGAACGGGGTGAGCTATGGTGCTAAAACCTGCTGACATTTTCAAATGAGAGAATTTTCAAGAGAATGTAACTTAGGGGTTTTACTAAGTCTTAAATATAATTATTTCAAAGAAGTGTGAACATTGATTTTGGATGTGATTTAAATCTATTATTTAAGATAAACAGCCAGTGTTAGAATAGAAAAACTATTGTGTGTGCGTCTGTATACAATAAAAAAAAGTGCACCGTCGATGTTGTAAAGTCAAGTTAAAATGCTAAAGACACATTAGATCGCATTGGAATCGCATCGAATAATTATAGTGAAAGAAAGAAACAAACAGACGCTATAACAAATTTTATTATTTAATACTCGCAACAAAAATGCGCATTATTCTCTAGTAGTTCCGAAGGAAATCTTTTTTCCATTTATTTATATTTGGAACAGTTTCAACTGCCAAATCTTAAGCGATTTTTCCTAGAGCATTAGATAAATAGACAATATGTAATTTATTTTATAAATAAAAAAAAACCTTAAAATTAAAACGAACAAAAAAAGTGAATCAATGTCAAAAAAATGATCTGTCTTGATGTCACATATACATAAACATATATATATTTGTTTTGAACACTTTTCCAAAGATGTTTAAAGAGTACATTATAAAATGTGTGATAATGCATTTTAAAAATCAGTTTTCGATACATTGTAATAACATATAAAGTAAATCAGCAACGAAATGTTTTCCTCCAGCCGATTTTTTCAAAAAGCTCAAAAATTCGACTAACTTTCTTGCCACTTCGAAAATGTCTGCAATATTTTCCGAACACTTTATTCCCGCATTCTGATAATTCATTCCTATAACGATCGCTTTTAATGCAAACAATGAAAAATATTGCGATTACAATTTCAATTCAAAAACTAAACATCTATTCAATTCAACCACTTTAATTTATAATTAAGTCGACAGACGGACGAAGAATGTTCTACAGGAACACCAAATCAAATATGTGTTTTCAAACAATTGATGAATTCAAAATATAGATACACACACACACACACAAGAGAAGTGAATACTAATTTTTTGAGATTATTGTTAATTTGCAAAGTTGTTATTGTTATATACAAAATATTTATAAATATTTAAAGAAAAAAGAACACACACAGAGAGACAAAATAAACTATAGGTTTGGCGGGTTTCAAATTTTAAACAAAAAACACACACACATACAAACAACGTTAAAATCAAACACAAAATGGTGAGGCCTGAAATGATGGAATAACTTTATCAAATACATTCTACATATTTTAAAAATAACAATCGCACGAAAATAATGGAAAACATAGGATTTTTTTCGAAGAAAAGAAAAAATTAGCACGAAAAATCAAATGTAAAAGATATGTATTTTGCTCTAGATTTCCTAGCATGTTTTTTTGCAGGCCCAATATCACACATACAACATTTAAATAACGTAGCTGTATCAGACGAGTGGCCTGAAATAAACAAAACACAAGAAACAAACAACAAAAATAAAACCATAATAATATTTACAACCAAATACGATACTAAATGTTATTTGAAACAAAACAAAAAAAAATCAATTTAACACTATAGTACGAGAGATTGTTCGTGCGATTTTGTGTAGATGATAAAGAGAAATTAACATTTAAAACAGTCGATTTACGTAATGAAAATTCTATTATAAACGGTGGAAATGCATGAAATTTTGAATTAATAAAATTACAAAAAAAAAAAAACAATTGAATATCAAATAAAACAAACCAAAAAATAGTCAACAAAAACAATTTTAAAATGAGAAAAAATGGTGAATTCAATGTTAGTAAAAAGAATAAAATGTACATTTGAATTCCAATACAAAAGATGCATAAATAAAAACTACAACAACAAAAATCCAAACGAAATAAAAAAAACTGAGTTTTATTTCAAAATTTAAAAAAAAACTAAAAAAATTATAGTTCTTGATAGCTCTCGAATCCACTAAACTAAAGTTCAGTAAAAAAAACGAACCGTTTGGCGGTAAAAATTCAAATCAAAATCTACACTACCAACCTTCATATGCGAAGGGGAATTGATTTGAAACGTCAAACGGCGCATTCACGGTATCATAAATGTCAGTGAAACTGTCAAATATACATATGTACGATGAAACTCGTAAAAACATTGAGATAAGGTGTGAATGGAAAACAAAAGCAAAAACGTTCCTAGGAGAGTGCGTGAACTGAGCGAAATTGGGAGAGCGAAAAGAGCGTAAAAAATCGTTTCCAGTCGATACTAATCCAATCGCCAAAATACCATTTCAGTCGATATTCAACCGCACCGAGAACGCAGTAAAAGTAGAGAATGTTTGCATATAAAAATTAAAATATTTCATTCATCAAAACATTCATAGTTTGTAAGACATTATTTACATTCCAAAATGACAGCGAGCAAGCGATACGCAATTGTCATTTGGTTAAATTGATTTATTTCAGTGAAGTTCATTTTGATTGCATTTCATGTGCATTTTCATGTATTTTCAATCAACTTGAAAAATAGTTAGACGATAATTAGTAAACTAATTTATTCGCAAATTTGGTGGAGTGTGTGTATGTGTGATATTCCGAATGAAAAAAAATTCGACGATTGACGTAACATGATTTTAACAATTTTCTATGCTGGTGCGACTCTAATGCAATCGTGGCGCTTGCGATCAATTACAACGGGCATTGCAAGCCGTATTCGTGACCATTGCACCATATCTTTCTATCGAACATGCACCGAGGACGACGATGGTATGTATGAAGTACATAGAGGGTTGTACATAGACGTGTGTGATTTTTGGCATTTAACTAATGAAACATTTTATTGTCTTTTTTCATGCATCCAAATGGTGATGAATAATGGTTTGGATTTGGACGTTAATTATTTTGACAGGCTTCACTTCAATTGGCGCTTCATCGGAAGCATGTGATAATTACAAAAATGGTCGTGTAGTCGACACATTATGGTATCATAATATGCTTCGTGGCGTATCAATTTTGCCAATACAAAATTTAGCATTAGATAAATGGGTGACCTTTAGTAACCTACCGCAAAAATTAAATCCATTATACAGTGCCGACGGCATTGATTTAGATTCACACAGCGATAAAAATATCATTCATATTCTGTTGGAAACCAATATTTATCCCGATTTAGAAGCCATTGAAATGGGCTCAAACATTGTCACCGTAAGTCATTTATAAAAATACTGATAATTGGGCATTTATGTTATTTCATTCAACCCATAAAAAGTGATAAGCATTTTACGAGTTTTGAGTTAACGATTCGTCTCATTCACAGGCCGAAAAATTCGGAACGCCAATCGCATGGAAAGTTGATACAAACTTGGCAATTGTATTAAGGTCAAATGTTACGTTATTCACCGAATTAATAAGAGATTCATTCATTCAAAATACACTATTCATTAACAACTATTTACCTATTATACGAATTGAAAGTAAGATTGCCATTGACTTTTAATCTCATCCGTTCATTTTACAGTGAATTGATCTATTATTTTTCTCAAATTTAGGTGTTTCTATCAATGGAACGCCATTACAGTTGCTCGATTTTGAAGCGTCACCGATTCATGCGAACTCAAATCCACCTCATGCCTCATCATCTTCAATGACTGATATCGAGTACCGTCATCACATAGATAAATTGAAAATATTAAATTTAGTTGCTAATTTAAAAGGTGAACCAAGTCCAGACGATTACGAAAAAGATATATGCGTATCAATAAATGAAAGTTATGTGTCCGAAACGAATGAAAAAACGGATGAAAACCATTTGAATAACGGCGTCGTCAATTGGATCAAAAGTGTTGAGCACGATTCAAGTCAATTGGAGGCCATAGCTCATATTTCACCAAGTGTGTCACCAGCCAAAACTGAAACTTCACCCGTCAAATTTGGCAATGGTGCCATTCACAAGGAAATTGAATCAAATACCATGACTTCAAGTAAAGGATCACAGGATTTACTTAGCGTTAGTGTTCAATCCGAAGGTTTTGCCGAAAATGACGAAAGCGGTGACGTATTCATTGATAATACAAAATATTGTACAATGAAATTGAATGAACAAGTCGTGGCGGCAAAAGAAAATCTGAATGACAAAAAAGCCACAAAAACATACGCATCGTCCGTTGCATCATCCAATGAATGCCATTCATCACAATATTCAACACTGAAACGGAAAAAAAGACACTCAGACAGTAGCAAACCACCAAATGTTCTTGTTTATTCCGAAAGCAATGACATACGTGCGAATGTGATTTCAACAATTAAAAACATTTTACATCCCGATCGTTATACCATTTATGAACTTAAGGCCGAACAATTGAAAACAAATATTTGGATTGATAACACGACGCTGCTGATTGTATGCGGTCCAATCTCAACACAACTCGGTACGATTTTAATGGAATATTTTCTGTGTGGCGGTAAAATGCTTTGTTTGTGCTCGGATGTATTGAATATGGTGTTGCCGATTTATCGAACGGCCGAAGTACGCGAAAATGAGTTGGTACAGTTTTCATATGGGCGATGGCAGAAAATCCAATTAATGCATCATATTTTTTGCTATCATCCATCGCCGATCAAAAAACACTTCTCATTGGAAAATGATGATGAAGGACAACAAAAACCGTGAGTACATTTGATAAGAAAATTATATTGATTTATTTTTATTTAAACATATTACGCAATATTTGTTTCCGTTAGACCGTTAACCTGTCCGGGATCTATCGATTTGAAAGATATCTACGGTAACTCGCATCGACTGGAAGTAAAAGTGCTTGGAACCGAAGAAACATGGAACACACCAAGTCTGATTTTAGCCACCGATACAAATTACAATGGAATCGCCGTATTCTCACAAGTACGCATGCATGTGAATAATTTTAGCATTTCACACAATTTGATTCATTTTTTTGTCATAGGTTCATCTTGAAGCCGATCCAAATCTTTATGAGCATGACGGTTTCAAATTTTCAGCGTTAACAAAAAGTGATAAAGCACGTTTGGAGATCTTTTCCGATTTATTGAGCACCCAACTAGGTTTAATTGTGCAAACACGTGATTTTCATTCCACAAACATGTTTCCGAATGCATATTTCCTAGGCCGACACGAGGTAACAATCTAATTTTAGCATTACTCGGTTTGATTGTTTCAACAATAATTTATCAATAATTTTAAACGATTTTTAGACAAAATTTGAACTTCTTGATAAACTAAAACCGCAATTCATCAATACGAATACATTGAGAACAAACTCATTGATTGTGAAATTCTACGGCAAAAACGAAACACCAAAACCAAATCTTGAGAACACACTGCCAATTTTATTGCATTCTTGCCCATCAGATTTTTCCACGGTTACTTATTTCGATGTGAGTTAAATCAATATACATGAATGTAACGTTTTGTAAATACCAGCTTGAGTAATACATTTTAATTATTTTGATTTCCATTTATAGACGTTAAAGACGAAAGAAATAGGTCGTTTAGTGATTTACGCGCCGCTTATCAATTCCACAATGACATTGGTGTCAAATTTGAAAATGCAACATGGATTGGCTGTTATCGGTCGAAAACAAACGGCTGGTGTTGGTCGAAATAAAAATCAGGTAATAAAATATTCGTGTCCAGTGCGTGGGCAGAAAAAGATGTATGTGTGCATTGAAAATTAAAATTAAATGTATCTTTGTTGCGTACTTTTTTTAGTGGTTGAGTCCAGATGGCTGTGCATTATTTACGCTACAGCTTCACATTCCATTATCAAGTCCGTTAGGCCAGAGAATACCATTACTACAGCACTTGGTGTCAGTTGCATTAGTAAATTCAATCGTTTCAAAGAACGTATACAAGGTAAAATATCAATAGACAAGAACCCACCTCTTATCACGTACAAATAATATTTACATCGCTCGTTTTTCTTACAGAAGCTTGACATTCGATTAAAATGGCCAAACGATATATATGTGAATGACACTACCAAAATTGGTGGCCTTGTTGTGAACACAGAACTGAATGGTGAATGGGCCATTTGCAATGTTGGCGTTGGATTTAATTTGAGCAATAGCATTCCAACGACTTGTGTAAACGATATGATAAAGACGTACAACCTGAAAAATAACACCGAACTACCGTACCTGGAATATGAAAGCTTCTTTGCCAATGTATTCAATGAAATTGAAGAACTGATTGACATCGTTCAAAGTGGTGATTTTGATTATCTATATGATTTGTATTACAAATTGTGGTTGCACTCTGATGCTGAAATCGTCATTATAGACGCCGATGGCATGAAAAAACATGCCACGATCATTGGAATTGATGATTATGGGTATTTAGAGGTGAAACAAGCGAATAGAGAACCAGAAATTGTCCATCCAGATGGAAATACGTTCGATATACTGCGCGGTCTTATTTCGGCCAAACACTATTAGACAGACTAGTCGTAACAATTTACTTGCCATTTTTATTTCTTTTATAAACTTTGCTAATGGTGTTTGAATACACCAAAGTAAATTCACTTAGTAAGTTAAGAAAATCCAAAATTAGCAGCTATATCGAAAATAGATTTTGATCACGCGCAAATTCTCGTCTTCTCGGTGTCGTTATTCACATAGTTTTCTTTTTGTCATTCGTCATTTATCCGATATATTTGTATAGTAAGTTTTTCGAAATTATTTATCAATTCTTTTTTGGCAAACATTTTACTCGAAACTTTTAAACAAGCGCACAATCGCGTTTTTTTTACAATTTTTCTCTTTGGAATCAATTCAATATTCAACGGTTTTTCTCTTGTTATCGATATTGTTTTTGATAAAATGAATTGGCTTATACAATTTACTGAATTGAACAAATATAACAATTTTTTTCGCAATTTTGCAATCAACTCAACGTTTAACATTTAAATGTATATTGAGTGTTTGGATAGATGTTAGATACGTAAGGGTAGTGTTGATCATTGAACAGATTTTACCAAAGAAGCAAAGCAACTGTTGGAACAAACACTGAAAAAAGTTTGACATTTTTGTTAACATATTTTAAATGATATAAATTATTATTGATTGAATAAAGGCCATAACAAATTTAACCTTTAGCTATTATGTTATTGCTTGAAGCAAGCATGAATCTTGATGTTGTTTTTAAAAGGTAAGCCAAAGAATTATTGATTTGGTATTTCGTGTAGAAAACTGACTTTCTCACACATTCTTGAGACGAAGTTTTCTTGATTGGCATTCCTGAATTTTATAATCGTCCAAGTGGTTTGAAATAATTGATTTCATGGTCTATAGACAGACACTCACTGCGGCTATATCGCAAGATTAAAATTTATCAACGTCGCTGAAGATACGGTTCGACTGTGATTTGAACACTCAGAATGTGATTAATGTCTGAACGGACTGCCCAAATTGAAGGAAGTGTGTATCGATTATGATTATGAAGGTGAAATGAATATTTATTATCACATCGCAAGCAAATCATCAAATAAAGTGCATATGGTCCACGAGTTGAAAGTGAGACATTCAAGAAAGAAACATTTGTAGACCCCGCAATGATTAAGGCATTCAATACCTACGACTTCCAGATTATTCTATAGGACATCTCACTGTTCGGTGTGAACTTATTTTTATTAGAATAAAACAACCAGTTTTTATTGAATGTATATTGTATACTTTATAATTTGTTATGAATACGAATAGGATATAAAAAATATGATTCATTATCAATGTTTAATTTTATCTCAATCATATGACACAAACAAACATTCACTTAATTTTCATCTTAACTATATTTCCTTAATTCGTCAAAGACAAATGATCAACATTTTATTTTCAGCTTATTTTAAGAATTTTCATGAGTTCTTCTAGTTTCTATAGGAAATATACAAAAAAAATTCATCATGAAACATTATTCGATTATCATTTTGCTCTGCTTTCTCCTCATTAAAGAGTATTCTACTATCTTTAGGTTTTTTACGGTTCAAGAAAACAATCTAATGCGTTGACTATTTATATTTCGTATCTATTTTTCTTCTTTTTTTCTATGTCGTGTTAATCTTAATTGTTTGTAATTTTCATATATTTCGATGATGTCGGGTAAGAGCATGGCATTTTAGTAAGTGCTCCCAGTCAGATGTTATTTTTAATCGGCAGCTTAGCTAAAAAGACCAAAGTCACATGACCGCCTTGTGCGCTGATCGTGCAATAATTGTTGTTATTATTATAGATGTCAAAAATGGTCTATCAAGTGATTTGGTAATAAAGCGTACATTTCGCGCTGTTGATTCTCAAAATAGTCTGAAATAGGCGATTTTTGTCCTGTTTTTTGTTTGTTTGCACATTGTAATTATTTTCGGCCCATTCTAATATGGACATTTTCTTTGCTGATTGTCGATTTTTTTTATATGTATCTTGTATGTGCAACACAAAATGCTCAGCAACAAAATGCAATTAATAAATGGTTTCATTCGAAAATTAAGACAAAAAATTGTATGGTGTAAAAGTTGGAAATTTGTTTGTTCACAGGTTCATTAACCGAACACTTCTTGCGAAGCATAATGGATGTAGAGAAAACCATCATCACTGCGATTTTCAGCATAAATTTCGGCCAATGTTTTACTTAGCTGTATCAGAGAAGAAAAAAGACAAAAAAAAATAATCAAAAAAATGATTGAAATAGTAGATCAAAATTTACTTCAAATATGGAAATAAATAACTTACCGATACCAAAGATCTATTATTAACCAAGAAAAATAGAGCCTTGCTTGGGCCGACCTTCATGCGACTACGTATGATCGAAATGAATTGTGACATTGTGAATTCTTGTGGCACCAAAAATTTACGCTTCTCCAAATGCGGCAAATCGGTTTCCTTCGAATAACGTTCAACGATAATCTATGTGGAATAAATAAAAAAACGATCATCATTAATTTGAATGAGCTTTCAATTTTATTTCGAATTCTTTTTCAGATAACATAATGTCCGTCGAAACTTACCGGAATCTTAGTTGGGAAACGCATACGAATTGCGGCTGATTCTTCTTCAGATGAACCTAAAAGTATTTAAAAAAAAAACATCACATTAGTCACAATAGAATTCAATCAGTGTGGCCTTAAATGCAACAAAAAAAGCATCCCAGTGACTGGCACTTGGTTTGCCTATGCTTGCGCACTCGCTATCATAATGATCTCAATCGAATAAAAAAAAACAATTTTCGTGCGCTTTTTTATTGCGATAACAAGAGTGCAATGAGATTAAAGGGCATTTGAAAATTGATTGCTATTAAACTATTAAAATGTGTGAAAATTAAAGTGATGATGTCAGTCGAGCTTGTGTTGCTTGCGATATTTTGTTACAGTGTTGCATGTGACCTAATCAATTAAATTCAAGATGATAAAGTCCTTTTTTTACATTTGCTTGTAACAACAATCCAAAATAAACCGAACATACTTCCGATCAGTAGTTATTCGGACATTGTAATCGTGTCGTTTAATGGCGACTATGTCGAATAGCACAAACATCACATTTTATAAATAAAAAGTTAAATCGAAGAAGAAATCGTGCAGTGTGATGTGTCATCTTTTGAATTGCGTAAACAATTGATCACATGCATGTTCTGAGAAATGAGATTCAACTAGGTTGTATCCTTGCTCCAAAAAAAACTTCCGGATGCTCTATACGAACCAAAAAAAAAAAAACAGTTCGTGTCAATTGATTGTGGGAAAAAACTAATATGAAATCTTTGATTTGTCTCCCTTGGTGTTATCATCGCTCACCAAGTGAGTAATAACGTCAAAACAACTAAATAATTCCCCCATATAAATATTCCATTTATTTGTCATTCGTTATCTCTTTATTGTTTTTTGCCAGCGACTCTTTGCACAAAGTGTTTGAGACATTTGTTGTTTACCATTTCAATTTTCTGGAATATTCCTGATCGTTTTTGTCGCAATTGACGTCAACACACATATTCTCTCAGTTTCACGATTTTCCCCAGGAATTTCATTCAAGAACGAGAAATTATTCGCGCTTAGAGGAAATGAATAGTTCGCTGACTCATATATCAATCATTTTGTTCTGATTCTGTTGTCGATATTTTATGTAACTTTAATTGCGATGTTGCATTTAGACTTTAAACTTGGATGCAATGGAAACAAATTTCGTTTGAGCAAAATGAAGAAAAATCAATGGAAACTTACCCCTTTTTGGATGGTAGAAATTGCTGTTCAAATCACGACTCTTGTGTTGGGTCATCATTGCGTTGTAAATGTCAATTGAATTCATGTTTTCTTGCAGATCAATTTGAAATATTTCAGAAATATACGAAAAAATTCTCTGCTCTTCTTTTCGAAAAAAAACGTGTCTTTTGTCAAAGTTTTTCTTACGTTGAATGAATACTCAACTATATCAAATGTGTTCACTTAAAAAAATATTATTCGAATTTTCGAGTGTGACTTACTCTTCGTTAAATTGTTCGTTATCGACTTTCACTAACAGACGTAAGATCAGTAACTAATGCCAGCCGAAGTGAAACACGTATATAAATATGAAAATTCACTGCACACCAGATAGGAAAAAATGCACAGCAACGGATGAAATCAGTGTTATGATGGGGAAAAAACAATCGACCAATACTTCGGCTTGAAATTATCTCTCGTTCTCGCCTGCTAGCTGGTAATTGAATTTTTATCAATTCGGTTTATTTTTAATTTTTGTTCGTTCGGTCTTTTGTTCGTCATATAAAGATTTGCGTTCTCTGCGCTTTACAATAATAATAACAATTATAGATTGATAGAGTGCTGTTTAAAATGTCGAGTGAAAACAGTCACGAATCAAAATAATGTCGGAATAATAAATTGATAACAGCACTGAGACCACAAGGAGCAAACAAATGTGTGCAAAATAATTGACACAATAAAATTATTCAGAGGCACAAAAGTCGATTGAAAAATGAATTAAATAGCATCGTCAATCGATATTTTGCAGCTAAGAAAACAAAAAATTAAATACGCATTTATGAGAATTGCTTCGTGTGATGCTTTGCAAAATATAAACGATTTGGTGTCTTTATCACAAGTGGCGAACCGACCACATTTTTCAATTCGAACAAGAGATTTTGCTACTTTGGCGTCTACATCAATGTCACTTCACAACGCACAAATAAAACGAATCACACCGAGATTTCACAATGTTTTTTTTTTTTTTTTCAAAGACGGTTTATCGCTTTAAATTGACCTTTCGCTCTTACGTTTGGTCGTTTTTTTGTTCTTATTCTCACTTGACTTGAAATTAAAGCAAACAATTTGTTTGCAATATTGTTCGCAATGAATTTGTTGCTTAATTCAACGATTTCACTGGTAGTTTCGGAGCGTTCGATTTAATTTACAAATGTCAATCGTTTTGCATTCGGTGTTTCTCTCTCTCGCTCGCTCTCAGCGGAATAGCACATTTACAACTTATGATCACTTGAGCAAAATATAATTCTCTTTGTATTCAAAACGAACCTCGGTATATTCTTATCAATTTGGCACTATAATCTATACCAACCGATTTATTTGTAGAAAGTAAAAACAGAATTGATTGAAGTGCTTGAACTCGCACATCGTGTAAATAAAATTGCGTACGATTTCGGAAAGCTGGGGGGTAGAGTATGTGCCAAACAGACAACACAAACAATTATGCGAGAATTCGGTGTGTATCTGCCGATGGTCACGTTCAATATGAAATTACAAAGAAAATTACTTTAACGTTTGTCATCTTTGAAACGATGACAAGGAAAAGAGAAACCAATGGAAAATTTTCGTTCTAATGACCGGCTAATTTACAAAGTACATGTGATTCTCTCTCCCTCTTTTTTTATTTCTTTGCCTGTTTATGGTTTTCGTTTTAAATTTTCATTTTTACGGGGTGCAGTGGTGCGTTCGTGTGTGTATGTGTATTTGTGTGCATGTGTGTGAACTATTTATCAGAATGAAGTCAGTCAATATCTATATACATATATGAAAAAAATTCAGTTTTCCTTTGTAAACATTTATTATCATAACAGACCTACCATAACCCCATATAACCGTTGAGAGTGTCGTACAGTTTGAAAACATCAACACACTATACAACCTTGTGAAGATCACATTTTGAAAAAAAAAAAAAAAAAAAAAAAAAAAAATATTCCGATGGAATATCGTCAGTGTGATTTGAGTGTGATGTCATCCAATGTTGAATATAATGCAAGATGATATTTTTTATGAATGCAATTTTATATTTGCTCATTTTGTGTGTTGTGTGATATTATCGACGTAGCAAATGTTGTGACAGCAATGTTATAGTACGTTTTTTATGCGATGCGACTGCGCGTAGTCGTTGACGTCTTAGACCAAATTGACATTTAACCAAATCATGTGGACTGGAAAGAGAGCAAACAAATATGACAAGGAACTTCTCTCGCAAATTTTCCATTGACACGAATCATGCGCACTCTTTCTCTATTCGTTCAATGTGCACATTAAGTGTAAAGAATTGCTAGGCTGCATATTGAAATTTATCGTACATAGATAAGGAAATCGTAAATTAAAATGCCAAATCCTATATTTTCACAAAAGTGTTCCATTTAAACTATTTTTCCCTATAAATATACGTGATAAATCACCAAAACCTTTGTATAGATATTTGAACAATACGACAGGGAAATATTTCTCATTAAAATTAGTTCAAACAATATAGAATGTACAGAGAGAAACATGTTTATCATTTTATATTTGATGTATTTATGTAATTCAGGTAAGGAGTTTATGGACACAAAAAGAGAGAGTTTATGGATTGATAATTAATTCACCGTTTTTATCTTGAATTACAGTTGAATCGCAGTCAATATATGATATGCCCCATAAGACATCAGAAGCAGAAAAACGTTCCAACAATATGTGGTGCTATGCATGTCATTCGATGTCCGAAACTGGTGATATGTGTGTCGAGAATATAACAGCGAATGTGTCAACATTTTTTAAAAAATGTAAAGATGACGAATTCATTTGCATGGTTCAGAAATATTCCTACACAACAAGCACGGAAAATTCCACATCAAGTCAAAAACTATGGTCGCTAGAACGACGGTGCGCAAGCAATTGTGAGGCGGGTTGCATTGTCATTGGTGAACGTACAAAACTCTATGCATGCACATCATGCTGTAAAACATCGTATTGCAATACGGATAAGGGAGCGGCCGCCAAATTATCAACAACTCCAAATAATCCAATCGAAACATTCATTATCACGATATTCATAATGATTTTAACAAAATTGCTTGCCACACCAAATTATAATTGTTTACAAACTTCCTAGTTGGACCAACTATGGAGATTATTTGTTTTTTTTTCTTTCTTTTAATCTTTGTGTGACTGATGCTGATTCAAAATCATTAATGCAACATTAAAAAACAAATATTTGCAAACGAACGACATCAAGTGTAAATAAGTTTTATTTATTGATAAGCGGAAAAGATGATTCATCGAGTGATAGAAATTCGGAGCTGCAATCTATTCATTAAGTGTCGGATATTTTATGTAGAATCAAGGAAAACGATATCAGGTTTTATTGAGAGTTTTGCTTAAATGGTAACCATAGATTTCCCATAAATATTTATCGTATTTTGCTCAAAATCTATTAAGTAGAATTTTTGAAAGTATTTTCTTCCAGTTTTCTTTTTGTTCTTCATATTTCGCGAATTGACATCACCTTGTTGTTTTCAATTGAATACCTATCGTGTGATTTGCTCACACAAAGAATCCTTCAAAAGTAGTTATGTAGACAACTTTCCGCTCTTTTAAGATGAAAAAAATAATAAGAGTCATGAATTGTTCCATGTTTTTAACAAATATCTTTTTAAAAAGTGATTAATTGAACACATAGTGACAAAATATTTTAATGATGATTAACTCAAGAGTGAAAAAAAAGTAATTTAATATGGAATCTTTGCTTTAACACCGAATATAGAGCTAGAATATGAGACCAATCATTTTATCTAAATCTCAATAGTAGTAGCAGTAGTATTTATTGTCTGTCGACCGTGTAAAACAACTATTTCCTTCAATGAAAATCGATATTTGGAGTTTCTCGCAAATATTTCTAAAATCATTTTAATCCATAAGCGATAGCATTATTATTCTAATTAAGAAAAAAACAGAATTAACTCATCCTATCATTAAAACATGAATTGATTATTATCTAAGTGTTCACAAATGTGTCAAATTAGTGAAATATTTATGTTTGTAGAGGGTTTTTAACCCGAATCATATGTAACTCTGCCAAAAACCAAAGAATTCATACCAAAACAAAATCAATCCATTAAATAACTGATTATGTAATAATAAAATACTTCTTTAAAGTGAGAATATGTTGGTCATTGTTTTTTAATTGGAAAAATAATTTGGAATTTTTCGACACTAGTACTTAAAGTTCAGTGTTCATCTTTTGTTGTGCCCGGACAATTGGCTTCCAAATCATCTACATTTTCGTAATGAGTGCCACACCAGTGGCAATAACAATATGTAGTTCGAAGGTAAGTGGTTAACATTTCAACCTTTTCAGAAGTCTGCAAATTGAAAAAGAAAAAGAATCAACGCTAATTACATGCTTGAACCAAAGTACAAAAATATGAAATTACCTCGTATTCGTCTTCTTCATCATCAGTATTCGGTGCTTCATTTGGTATTTCTTCAATTTTTCTCGTTTCTTCTTCTTCAGATTCAGAGCTACTAGAGTCGGAACTGTCCGACATATGTCCAAAGTGCTTCTTTGCTACACTATCATCACTGCTCGTTGAATCTTTTCGCAGTCGTTTTGGTTTCTTATCATTTTCATCATATGGATCTTCTTGTGTTTCGGCCGGTTCACCTTTGTTGCGTTTTGGCCAAAAGAATGCCATCACTGATTTTTCAATTGAAGCGTCGATATCAAGCTTTTCACATGCTCGCTGACATTTGCTGTGAGACAAACAAATTGATTATTAGCCAAAATATGTTTTGAATTCAAAGTAATTGAATAAATGTAAATTTGTACCATAAATCAGCTTCAAGTTGTCGATCACAATTTTTCTGTGCCATTCGTTGCCTGAATAGATGCAACGATGATGTACTAGTTTCGCTTTTTGCTTCGGACTTTGTTTTACGCAACCGTTCTTTGTATTCCTCCAATTGTTTTATTGCTGCCGCACGGCCTAATCCGGCACGGTCACTTTTGATTTGAATGGAAATTGGCTCAACGATACCTGTGGAAGATCGACCAATAGCATCACCTTGTTTATACCTTAAAGGCGAATCACAAAAGAAAAGAATAATCGAAATAATGGAAACATATAATGAAAATGAAATTGCAAAAAAAAGTGAAGTTATGTTTATACCCCATTTTGGCAAGCATTGCAAATCCTTTATTATCCGATGAAATGGCAGCGCTCAAACCTTCCTCCCGACGTTCCGCCTCCAATTGTTTCACTGGCTTTTGTTTATTCTTTTGTTCATCATCCAATTTTTTCTTTTCGTCTTCCAATTTGATTCGGCGAGCAATTTTATGATTTCCCACCAAACCGGGACGTACATCTGTCTCAATACTAAACAAACAAATTATTAAACATTAAACTAAGGAAAAAATGTAAAAAAAATTACTTACGTTTTAGCTAAAAAGGCATCTGACATATAATCATCTTCTTCACTTGATCCAGACATTTTTTTTCCACCTTTTTATTTTAATCGAAAATAATTATTTTTCCTCCAAAAATACCAAATAGTAATGTTTACAAACGTTTCACACACACACACAGAACTGGTCCCATTTTGACAGTTCAAAAATTTGACACATTTGAGCGCAGCTGTCAAATAGCACGTGGAATGACATGAACTGACTTTTGTAGTAAATTGTACACACATTTCTCTGTTTCACTGCTACACAGTGCCGACGATAAACACGATGGCGGTAAGGAATAAACGAAATTTTTCTATTCAATTTTCTTGTATAATAATATTTTCCAAATTTTTTTCATAGAAAAATGTGAAAATTAGTGGCGTGAAGCGATCACAGCATATAAAACACAAGAAAAACTTTGCACGACCTGGTAAAAAGAAGGATAATGTAAAAAACAACAAAGTCACCGAAAAACAATTGGCCGCGAGTAAAAAAGTATTTGGTAAACCGGTTGGACAAAAATCGAATAAACGTAAAGAGCAAAATGAGGGAACGATTCAAAATAGAAACGTGCCAAAGAAAGGAAAAAAAGTCGTACAATCAGAGAAACCAACTGCGAATGGTCATTCTGCTGATAAGGAAAATGAGATGGACGAAGAAGATCTTCAAGATTTGCTTGACATGATTGAGGATGAAGACGATGAAATGTTAAATCGATCGAAAAAACGTAAAAGGGATGCAGCCGATGGAGTCGTCGACGATGAAGCTGGCCAATTTGAACAGGAATATGCGCATCAACGTAATGCTGAAAAATCAAAAAAGATGCGCACAGTCGATTTATTGCCAATTAAAACAAAAAGCGGTGAACTTATTACGCGAACAACTGAGGTTGAAGTGAAAGACAAACCGAAAAAGGAAGCCGATGATGAAGATGAAAGTGAAGAAGAGGAAGTGGTTGATTCAGACGATGATATCGTCAATGATATTCAGAGCGAACAGATTAGCTTGGCGGCAGCAGCATCAGATAAGGCAATTTCAACCGCAGATTTGCTTATTTTACGTGATCAAGAGATAAATCGACAAAAATACCGTATCGGCATCATTTGTTCAGGAATTTTAGAAAAACCAGAAGATAAAATGAAAAATTTTAATGCACTGTTCGAATTGATGGACGAACGGCACAATGATGCACCGAATTTATTTAGTGTTCGAAAAATTGCCACCATGTCTCTGTTGGAAGTTTTTAAGGATATTCTGCCAGAGTATCGAATCGGACAAATCGATTTAAAAACACAGAAAGGTAAGCAGGTTCATAAAAATAATTTATTTTTCATATTAATTCCCTATCAATTTCTTGATCATTGCAGTAAAAAAGACAACAATGGAACGTGTGACGTATGAAGATGCTCTGCTTATGCACTACAAAAAGTATTTGCAAAAACTGGAAAAACTTACCAGTGGCATTTCGAAGGGTCAACGAAGAACATCGCAAGAATATCGTAAAATGGCGGAAATTGGAACGACATGCTTGTGTGAATTGGTGGGAGCACATCCGTATTTCAATTTTGGCCAGAACATTGCCCAACTGTTGGTGTATCTGTCGAATTGTAATATTCTTTCGATTCGTACAAAAGTAATGAACTGTTTCCAACAATTGTTTCGTGAAGATTCGAAGTTTGAATTGTCACTTTTTGTGGTGCGTCGCTTGAATCACTTGATCAAATCAAAATCGAATATGGTTCATGTTGAAGTTTTAAAATGTTTATTGGCCCTTCAAATAAAGAGTATCAACTTGGACGATGAAAAAGAAAAAGAGCTAAAACAAAAGAAAATGGAAGCTCAAAAGTCGCGATTGATAAATATGTCGAAAAAAGAGCGAAAACGAATGAAGAAACTGAAAGAAGTGGAAAAAGAATTGCAGGAAGCCAATGCCGAAGAAAATAAACAAACGAAACATTATAAATTGACCGAAATTACAAAAATGGTATTTACGATATATTTTCGTATTTTGAAGAATGATCCAAGCTCACAATTGTTGAGCGCATGTCTAGAGGGTTTGGCAGAGTAAGTGTTCAATAATTAATTTTTCACAAATACACCATATTGATTGACATCGATGGTTTTATATTAATTTGATTGACATCGATGGTTCTCATTTCAGATTTGCACACACCATCAATTTGGATTTCTTCTCCGATTTGGTTGAAGTATTGAATCACATAATGGAAAATGCCGAACCCGAACTCGGCTATCGTGAACAACTGCACTGTATTCAGACGGTGTTCACAATTCTTTCGGGACAGGGAGAAGTATTGAATATCGATCCGCTTCGATTCTATGGTCATCTTTATCGTAATTTGCTGGTATGCAGTGCTGGTAAAAATCATGATGATTTTCAAATTATATTGAAAACACTTAACGAAGTTTTGGTAAAACGTCGCAAGAATATTTCGCAATCACGAATGATGGCTTTTATCAAACGTATCGTAACGCTTTCTCTTCAATTGTTGAGCAATGGAACGGTTTCGTGTTTGGGCATTGTGAAAAGTGTTATGCAAGCGACATCGTCATTCGAAATTCTTTTGGACACAGACACAAGCACTGGATCGGGCAAATATGATGCCGAATTGATGGATCCCGAGTATTGTAATGCAAATTGTACGGCATTATATGAATTGGCAGCGTTGGTACGACATTATCATCCAATTGTGAGAAAGGTAGCAAATCACGTAGCTCGTGGTGTGCCGGCCTCTGGTGACGGATCGTTAGCGCCAGAAATTGGAAAATTGTAAGCCAACTTGAATCAAATTCGTTGCATATTTTATTTCATTTTTTTTATTTTTTTTTATTATTAGAACACCCATGGAATGGTTCTACAAATTCGATTGTTCAGCTATGGCATTTGATCCACCAATACCACCACCAAAACCGTTTGATCTGAATAAGCCATTCAAAGGCCGATTCTACTATACAAATGAAGATGTTGAAAAGGCTGTAAATAACTCGTTAGCTGCACCAATCCAATCACAAGGACAGTTGCTCGATTTCTATCAAGAAATACGATTGAATGCCACCAATGCACACAACGAAGACAAATAGATCATTTTGGATAGTTCCATATATATTTCTTTATTCAATAAACATTTGTTGATGAGAAAAAAAAATCAATATATTTTTTTCAAGTGAAAATATAAAAAATTGAAATGGATTAAATAAATAGTGTTGTTTTTATTCGCGTTCAACTGCAATACTTTCATTTGCATCGAAAATCAGATCGCCTTTGGCTGGATATACACGACGCAAATATCCTTCGGCATCGGTTATCTTCACTTGGCGAAGATCAAGTCGCTTGACATTTATATCACATTGTTCATTTTGACTAGTGCCAAAGCCAGCGATCAGCATTGCTTTAAGCAACGCTTCAATTGTGGCTACACAATCGCTATGCGCTGAATGACTTGTGATCTCGATAAAGATGTTTTTAGTTTCAGGTGAAATCTTTTGAAAAAAAAAGACATTTGAAAATAATTAATTATTTCCGAAGAAATTGAAAAATATATGTTTCACACTTACTTTTGTGGTTTCACCATTTGTGAGCGGCGGTAAACTGATGACTGTTCCAAGTGCGTCTTCGATACACGAGAATTGTGTTTGCTTCTCCAACAATTTCAAGTACTTGTGAATACCAGAATATGTGTTGCGTTGTTTTTGTTTTCGAATTGCTTCCGCCTCCGATTTCAGTTCGTTGTACAGCGCTTGAGCCGTTACGATCTTAGCTTTGCCCAACGGTTGAATTTTCAATTTATCAGCATCTTTAGCGGTGTAACGTACAAACGGTGTACAATCAGCATCCAATGGAAGTGGTAATTTGTTTAGGTCATGTGTAGCAATTGTTGATTTTTCACGTTTTCCGCACACGGTCTCGTGCAATTTCGTTTGAATATGCAAAAATTCACGAAATTTTCCATCGGTCAAGTTCACATTTTCCACGATGCAACACAAAATGAACTGACGAACATCTTTGATTGAATCTTCGTAAATGACCTATTCGATAAATTTTAATTTGTAAGTTTAATCGTTGATTTAAAAAAAACTTTGTTCAATTTAATAAAAAAATAGTAATACCTTGACGGTTTCATCAGTGTGACGTTTCAAATTGAACTTGTATCTTGCTTCGTCCGAACTTTCACTTTTCTTTGACTTCTTCGATTTGGCTGACTTCTGGCTGGAGTTTGAATCATTTTCAGTGGATTTTGGTGCATCTTCACCGTGTTGCTTAACATAGTCAAGCACCTGTTTTGTCCGGCACTGTTGAATTAATTTCAACAATCGCTTGTCTGCGACAGGATTTTCGGATAAATCGAGATCTTTTGAGGAAGATAACATAGTGATATAATCAAAATATTTGAAAATTCATAATCGTTTGCATCAAAACTCACCCTTCAATTTCGAAATGTTGGCCAAACTTTTTGGAATTTTTTTCAATTTATTTTTGGCCATGGAAAAATGCTTCAATGACACCAACTTATCGATACCGTGTGGAATTTGATCGATAGAATTTTCCTGAATAAAACAATATTTTACAAATAAATCGAAAATGGTGAGAGCACATGATTGAAATGTAAAAATTACCTTCAAGTAAATCTCTGAAAGATTACTATTTTCAATGGAATAAATGTGTGGAAAATCGGTTAGATTATTGGCAGATAAATCGATGGTTGAAAGTTTTGAACTATTCAATGTGGGGAACTGTTCAATTCGATTGTTGGAGAAATTGATCGTTGTCAAGTTGACCAGTTTTGTGATGGAATCAGGCACATTTTGCAATTTGTTTCGCGATACATCCAGTACCTTGAGTTTTTCAAGCGAACCAATCGTATCGGGAATTGTTTCAATTTCGTTGCCATATAACAGCAATGTTTGCAAATTAATGAGGTTAGATATTTCGATTGGCAGTGCTTTCAATGATGTATCGCTGATGTTGAGCAAATTCAACGATTCCAGTGCAAACAAACTGATATCGATGCCATCTTTGTCGATTCGTTCGCTGATTTCGGCACCAGCCAACTTCAGCTCACGCTTATTCTCGTCTTTTGCTTGTTTAATTTCTGGCCACATTTTTATGAATGAAATTAAACAACGGTGCGGTTTCAATGTACACTAACAGCTGTACGGAAAAAAATATACACGATCAAATAAAAAATCGAAAGAAAAATCCTCTCACACTTTAGCTTACATGTATGAAAATTGTTGTTAATTGAGTTTTCACATAAATTGTGCAATGACACGTCTGTAGTGAATTAGAGATCTTGGATTTTCTCTAGATCAAATCACAAAATCGCTGACTTTTATTTGGCTTGTTGTTGCACAGAATTGCGTATTGCGTTATTAGTGACATCTATAATATTGAGCAATTTATTTGACACATTCGTCTGTCAATTGAGAATCGCTGTATATCGTTTGTTTTGTTTGTGATTCGGTTTAGCTTTTAAACCGAGCAAAGAGATTCTATTTATCGCGGAATGGCATCCGGAGGTGGAAAAAAGCAAGCAAACCGGAATTCTACATCGAATTCAACGGCTCCCGCCCCAAATTCAACGGCACAAGAAAAACCAGAGAAGCCCGAATATGTGCCACAATTTATGCAAGAAATTTCCGATATAATGCGTGGTTATGGTGATTGTGAAAAACCATTGATGCAAACGGTGATTTTAGTCGAAAAAATTGTGATCGAACAAATGAGATCGTTGCTCATTGATGTGAGTAAATTGAAATTCAAATCCATTTCGTTTGTATAAACAATTGAAAATAATTTTTCAACATTTCAGATTATTAATGTGGCTATGGATCGAAAGGGTACAAATTGCAACTTCATTTTTATTATATGTATCCATTACTTCCATTAGTTACTGATTAATTTTCATTCTTTTCTTCTGATCAACTCTAGGTAAGCCACAACCAACACAAAAAGATTTTGAATTTATGATGAGAAAACATCCAACGAAGCTATTTCGCTTGCAAAAGCATCTCAAAGATTTGGACTTCAAGCGACGATATCAAGACATGATATCAGGTCGACCGATGACATATGCCGAGGACTTTGATGAGGAAAATTTTGAAGAACCAGAAGAAGTTGCCGAAAAATATGACGAAGAGAAAGTGCGCCGATTGTTTAGAGCTGACCGTATCTCGTTAACACTAGACGCAAAAAAATATGCTGAATTTAATGAGGCTCGTCGAACATCATTCCATTGCCGAAATTCGGCTGCAATCAAGGCAAAATTAAAGACCATTATAAATCCACCGGCCGGTGCCACCATTTCGGGTCATGTATATACCATTTTGGGTTATTTGGTGCACGAGACTATCGCAACACTTTGTGACTATGCTATCTTAACACGATTGGATTCAAGTAATCGTGCTGTTGATCCATTTCATCGTATCGCAACTTCAGGTAAAATCAACTAGATCACTATGATTATTCGAATCAATTAAATTGATTCAATGGTGTTTCGTTGCAGGCACTTCATTTTCAATGATGCATTTATGTCCCGAAGTAACACAAGGCCGAGCCGAAGATGGAATCAAACCAATTACAGTTCAAGAGATTCAAGAGGCAATGCGACGACACACAATGAACTACGAAAGACCCTTGGGATTGCATCGAAACATCATAGATCGTTATTCGTCAATGCCTTATTTAGCTATATAAATTTTATGATACTCATAGTATTACATATATGTATGATGAATGCTCATCGAATAACCATCAATAGCACATAGCTTCAAACTGTCAAATCATAACCTCAATTTTGGCATATTATCATTCTTGTACATTCAATCGGTTGTGTTGTTTAAAATAAATCGATTGTAGCAAAATAACGTTGTTTTCAATTTGGTGTGGGCAAAAATGGACAATCAATTTCGGAATGTAAGCTTGATTCGAACTTAATAAATCATGTTTGAATTCCTCAAAAGGATTTTTCAATTTTCATTAATGCATTCGCTTGTTTTCAGTTCAAAGACTTTCTTCAATTGTACAACAAATTGACTGAAATGTGCTTTTCACATTGTACCGACAATTTTTTCACACGACAATTAACAACCGAGGAATCGAATTGCTTGGATAAATGCGTTCTGAAATTCAGTAATGTAAATCAAAGAGTGATGACTAACTATGTTCACTACCAAGGAATTATCAACGAACGACGAGTGAAAGAAATGGAAGAACAAATGAAAGCAAACGAAGCTGCCGCTTTGGCTGCCTCTAATGTTCCAACCACTGATGCTAGTACTTTGACACCAAATGATATGGACATTTCGTCCAGCATATCGGCTGTGAATTCGGAGGAAACTCAAAGTCAAAGTCAGAATTTGGCCACATAGGATTTATTGCGATAATCATTTTCTAATTCAAACTGACACACCTGTATGGAACTGTTCAGTTAATTTTTAGTTAATTCTATTGATAAATAACCAAAGTAGATGTTAAAGATGCAAGTGCACTAAAAATAATAAAATTAAATAAACAAAAGAAATGTCTACTTTGATTAAGTCTATGTCAATTTTCACTAGATGTCGCTATCACGTTCGCTGGATTAATAGCTCAATTTTGAGCGTCATTTTGCACAAATTGACAGAACGGAGCATCAACAATGAATTTCAGTTTATATGCAATTACAATTATTCGCGTTGCGATGTCAAACAAATAGAAAGATGGGACATAACATATATCAACGCGCGTATGCATGTATTGGTTTGCAATTGTATTGGGTCCGTCAAACGCGCGCACACCGACACTGACAGCGACAACCATAAGCTGACTCGAAGAAAGGAAAATCATACGATTTTTTTTTTGTATTCTGTGTGTCTCGGTTCCGTGTTTATTGTATAAAAACCAACTAATCATTTTCTGTGTGAATCAATCGGTTATCCGACACTTGATATGGATGTGTGAACTCAATTTAATTAGATAAAACGAAGTAGAAAGAAATTTTGTGTAGAAAATTGGTTTCATGAATTTGCATTCGGATCAGTTTTGCATGAAAGAACAAAAAGAAAATAATAATAAAAAATTAAAGGGGTTCAACTGTGGCATTCAACACCGAATAAGTATATCTAAACACATTTTTATCGATTAATCGGCTTTGTACACGTATGACATTGTACTTGTGAAACACAAAGAAATAAACACGAAACACACACAATATTTTTGAATTTTGGTTTAATTGAAACAAAAAAAAACAAACAAACATTTTTTTTATCGAAACGACAAAGAAAAATCGATTTCGTTGAAATAAAAACCGAAACAACGAAAGGGTGTATTAGAATAAAAGTGCAAGACATTTTATTTTAATTGAAGCGAACAAAGAGGAGATGTACTGATTTTTGCAATAACATCCACCACAACAAGTGCATGATTTGGCGATATACCGTTTACGGCAATTTAAAAATAAAACCTTACCAAAGACAAAGTAAGCAAAAAGTTCTATTAATAGCTTTATAGATAAGAATCTTTATTTTAGTTTTGTTTTCAGTTTGTTTAGTTATTCTTTTGTTTTGATCGATAATTACGTTGTACTATGTCCGCCACGTTTTGTGACACCATTTCTCATTGTTTTTCGAACTGTAAATAAAACAAAATCATACCATCTATTTACGCCTGAATCAAGCGCTTTGCGTCATTGGGAGGGGAAAAAATGATCATTGTATTTTTCAATTGATTTGATGAATTTAAAACTTTTATCAAGAAATCAGTTTTTTATGATGTAACACTGCATTGATTAATAGCAAATGACTAATGAAGCGCAACATCACGCGACTATTTTTACGGTGTATTTTTCGAGTTAAATTTGTGTTTCGGCCACAGTTTTGTATTATTTCCAAAGAAAAGTGAATGAGTCGTAATGAACAATTGTTTCGTGGTCAAATGGAGTGACCCGTGTGAACAATGTATCATCACGAGATAAATGATTAAATTCGTCACAAAGCAACGAACTCGACTCATCTATGTATACGGATTTATTTTTAGCTCTCACACGAGCATCACTTGAGTAGTAAGAATAGCTCAAAGGTATCGAACAATAAAAATAGAACCATAAATTGATACATAAAATAACAATATAATCATATCTCATATTTAAGCTTCAAAGTTGCTATTTTTTTTACTCTTTTCGTTCACAATGGCTTTGAACATACGGTCTACTTTTCAACAGCTGTTTATCACTTACCAAATTACGCATAGCTGAATGTTAATTTGATTTGATGCCAACAAAACGTTGAATATGTACTTTGTAACTATGCGCCACATTTGCGCTAATAATTGAATTCTTTTACGTCAAATACAGTACGAAAATGTACGTTGAAAATTGATCAAAGAGGTGACTCTTTGGTAACATTTTCATTCGAGCTCAAATAAGTGATCAAAAGAGAATTTCGAAAAAAAATGCAATTGTTACCGCAAACCATCCCATGACGAATTTGAGTATGCAAATTATAATTTAAAATGTCAAAGGTTTAATGAAAACAAAACCAAAACCACCAACTCTCAGAAATGTTGTCTTTTTTTCACTTGCATTTGGATTGCGCTCAAATGAAATTTTCATGACAAATTGTACTTCTACCAAGTAAAATTTATTGGCCCAATAGCAAGTGCTCTCTTATTGACATTCGTAATGGTTTATTCATAAGTTGCATATTAACCAAGTGGCGTGACCGAATCTAACAATAAAAAAAATCGATCGATTCTCACTAATAGCGAAGAGGGGAAAACCCCGTTCCATTGCAATCAGCGTAATCTTTTAAATTGAAGATGATTTGAATGTAGCAACGTTTATGTAAATCCCTTCCCTTTGTAATTTCCACAACTTTTTTTTTCTGTTATCGGCTGCTTCATGTATCGAAAATACCGAATTCAATGGAATGGAATGGTATGTATCTACCGTTAAATTTGAATGGAATCCGTATGAATTTTCTTTCACCCGCATATAGAGAATTCGTGTCTATTGAAACATGGAGAATATGTTCGAGGCAATTGGTCACGAGCGGATTTTTCGGATTTTCGTTTTTGTTGATATTCCAATACGACGCATTTCAATGGATGCTTTTTCGTTAGACTTTTTATATTGATTTTTCTCCTCTTTTTTTGAATTTCCGTTTTTTTTTATTTGAATCCCGTTTACAATGTGTCTCTTTCTTTGTTAGAGAATATAAAAAAATGTCTTTTTTTTATCACTAACATTTTTAAACATTATCAATCTATTTCTCTCTTTTCTTTTTTGTGCTGCTTCTGCATAACACCAAAATTGTTTGTCAACACACGATTGGTTCTACTATGTTTTCTTAGCTTAGTGTGTCAATAGTTGCTTCATTTTAATTGTGATTAAAATCTTTAACCACTAGATAACTAAATAAACAATCGATAAAATTATCGAACTGACTGCCAACAACAATTTAACATAATTTACAAGAAAAAAAAAACGAACCACTAATAATAATACAATAACTAACAATATAATGCCGGCAAATAAACGTCGTTCACGTAATGGAAACGGAAATTCATCGATTTCATCACCAACATCATTATCGACATCAACAGCAGCTCAGGCCAATCTAAAGTCAACAAATTCGATTACAAAGATATTCAATAACCTCAACGGCTTTGCTAATGGTAGCAATTACAACGGATACCATCCGGTTGTTATAAATCATCAAGTGAATCACTCGAATTCAACGATAATTGCAAACGGCGTTGGAACAAACGCAACATCAGCATTTACCGCAAAACAACAACAACAATTGGATCGAAACGCATTTTTGTTGACATTGAACAAAGAACAATTGAAGGTCGAGTGCCGTAAACGTGGCCAAAAAACAACCGGCACCAAAACTGAACTGGTATTTTTTTCATTCGATTAACATCCGTACCTTTTTTACACCGTTTATCATCATAATTGGCGTAGTGTAACGTTTCTTTCGCCATTTTTTTTATTATTCATTTTGTTCGTTTGAAAGTTTCAATTTTTTAAAATATATCTTCAAATTATCGTTTGTAGTTGATTTGAATCCTGTTTTTATCATTGGGGCTTTTTTCGATTGATTTATGGTTTTGTTTTGCATTCATCTAGTTTTTAAAGAAAAAAAAACTGAATATTTTTTTAATCATTTGTTCCTGGAAAAAGGGAAACAATTGAGTGTGGTTTGTTTATCTGTGTTATCTATTTTTGAAAAGTTCTTTGCACTTTGTTTGGATTTTTGTTTATTGTAGATTGAATTTCCATTGTATTCTTTTCATCATGAATATTGTATTTTTACAACGTTTTTTTTCCGACATAAAGCCTTTTAATGATTCAGTGTGCATTACAGATAAGATTAAATTGCCATGCATTTACATCTACACATCTACTTCTACATAGTTATTATTTAAAGCAAATTCCGTAGGCCCTACAATAAACGGTACTGTTACCTCTTTGGGGATTTAAAAAAAACTCTGTCTCGTCAATGATAAATTTAAATGCAGTCCATTTCAATGGAAAATAATTTATTTCCATGTCTTGTTCTTCGTTAAAACTTCTCGAAAGATAATTTGTAATATACACATCAAACATGTTAAATGGAAACCACGTTGTCATAACTCATAGATATTAATCAGGTAACAAGGAGCTCATTTGAATTTATAACCATGGACGTTTGATGGTGTTGTGCTTTGTTTCACTTTCATTGTGTGATGGAATGGCGTGCACTTTATAACAGTAATTAATTTCACTTGCATTGACTTAAACTTCGACTCATTGCGAATTACCACTGAGAGAACGGTTGAATGACGTACTGCAAGTAAAAAAGTTATTATTATGTATTAGTCATGGCACGATAATATTTGCGTATTGCTCTGTAATTCATTATTACAATTTATTAACATGGAATGGGTTTTGGTAGCACAGAACACAAAATATCTACATGAACTTTGATCACAATTCATGTGCACATGCTGCACACCAATGTACTCGCTTCAAACGAGTTTTCCGACCGCTTTCAGTTCGAAAGGTTCACTGTGCCGAACAGTCAAACACACCGAACACCTGAAATTCATTGCATTTTCGAGTAGGTTACCTCTCTCGTTCACCTCATCAGACACATTAGCCGTGGACTTCCATTGTAACATGTAAGCCGAGTGTATTTCGTGTGTATTCATCAGTAAGCTATAATAAAAATCGTCGCGTCAGCCTCTTCATTCACACACAATCTCTGCGGTTAAATGATCTAAAACACATTATACTATGTCATAAAAAAATAATACTACAGACACATTGATTTCGCTAATCGTGTAAATTGCTCGTCAACGAAGCGGCTGTAGCACGATTGGGCCACGTTATTGTCGCTCATCCGTTGAATTTGTTACACTCTTTTGCATGTGTAACGTTCTAGTTTTTAAATTACTTTATTCGTTATTTTTTATGACTAAAATAACGAACCACATGCGGATGATACATATGTCTCAATGATTTCCATTGCGTACAAATTCAATTAAAGGTGATAAAATTATTGGGAAATTTCAATCAAATATGTGTCAACAAATGATGAAAAAATAAATAATAATAAGTTTAAATAGTCATCTGTCGTTCAGTTGAGCGAAGCGACGGTACTAATTGAACGAATGTGAGCTACGAAGCATGTGTTTGAGAACGCATGGTTAAAACACTTGATAAGCATATACGAATACACATGTGCGATATGGTGCGCGCACAACTTGTCGTTGTTTCGGACACAACATATACATACTTCATATCTCGTTAAGTTTGCATACACAATTGAGGCTATACGAAATTGTTTTTGTTTTTGGCCAAACGTATGTGGTAGTGTGTTTACGCTCACATGAATCCCATCTACGTTAACTTGACGCATTGAAACCACGAACACGTTCAGTCATACAATTGAAGTCACATGCAACACACAATCGAGTGCCTTCTTTTTTCACTAAAACAATAAAAATAATAAAAACATCTCTTTTTTCTGTGAAAAAGAATTCAAAGTATTTATTCACATTTTTGGACATCATATTTATTTCAAATTCAACTGCTTGTGGTGGCTAAATAAATATGTAAGTGATATAAAATGAATTACATTCGAAAATATTGTGAATTTTGCTAAATAAAATGACTCAAAGTCATTAGAGTTGAAAGTACACAATTTTCAAAAAAATAAAAACATGAATTTGTTCCGAGTAAAGACAATGAGTATGCGAGAAATTGCTTTTTGTTCAAAGTAATTCTCAACATTTTTCATTTTGCAAGTAAAAACAGTTTTCAACAACTTGTGATTTCTGTCATTTTCAATCAGTGAATATTCATCACACATGTACTTGTGTTTATGTATGTGTGAGTTATTGTTTGTCTGCGTTTTTTGAATGGCATTCAAAAGCATTGTCGTAATTAGCAAAATCGTGCCACTGCTTTGGAAGTGTGTGTTTATGTCTGAAAGATCGGTTCTTTCTCGATCCGAATCATAAGGGCACTCACTACAACAATAACAAAAACAATAATAATGTATGCATGAAATGCTTAATATGCGGTCATTTTGAATGGTCAAATGTCCGATAAAGATAAATCATTAAGTTAAATTGTGTCGGTTCTACAAAATTGGATTTGTAGTTAAGAAATGTTAAGGTGATCACCTTGACGAGTTCAATATCAATGTATTATGATCGTATATTTATGTGTCATTGAAATTCATCTTCCGAATTTGGTGCGAATTCGAATATCAGTCATATGCATAGAAAAAAGGGAGGTTTTGTCATCGGAAAATTATAAGCATTGAACAGTGATCGCCAACCTGTTGTAAATGTGATTTAAGCCGTTTCATTTACTTCAGTAGCCATGACTTTCACATGCTCGTAAATTGTATTTTTCTTTGCTGAAAACGAATGCAATGTCCATTGGATATGCGCGTAACATCGGGGGAAATACATAAAAATCGTCAGCTGTAAATCAGTGATGCGAATGACTTGCGCGCAAGTCTCACGTTGAAATATGAGCTCTTATGAAATCGAATCTGCGTTTTAGGCTGTGTTACACCGATAGAGTTGCGGCTTGTGGGTGATTGATCGTACACTCGCTCATTTTTTGCACCATTTACTATTTGCCGTGAAGAAAGTGAAATTAGTTCGTTGAACGATGTATGTGTGTGTATTATGGCGTTTACCGATGCGGCAAAGACTGGCCCCGTGCGTCTATTAAATTCTATGGTTGTCTGTGTGTAAGACAAAAAAAAACTGTTTCATATCAATACACATAAGTAAATATTTATTTTCGTTTTCATCAAAATATTCCACCTTACATCAAATCACAAATTGTAATGCGTATGCCCGATTTATTCCGATGGTAATATTTTTAAAAAGATGATCTTCGATGCCAACATCTTTCGTTCGCCAAAAAATGTGCATATTTCCTTCAAACAGCTGTTTTTCCACGTTTTCATTCTGACACAATTGACACGTATGTGTGTAATAAAACATTTAAACAAACGTATTATCGTCGACCATGCAAAATGCACGTGTGTGTATAGAACCATAAACGAAAACTAGAAACTACAAGTTTTATTGAATTTGCGACTTTCAAATGTTTCGCAGTTGGATCTGAAACGCAATGATATTGACGTCTATTTTGATTGTTGTGTTTTTTTTTGTTTCGTTTCGTCAAACGACAAATTCTCACATTTTCATCGATAATACACATTGAATACACGTAACATTTTCACATTTTCCGCATTTTTTTCGTCACTCAATGTAATTTCAACAATCAGTAATTGTTTTCGTTTGTTATTTTTCTTCTCTTTACCTTTTGTGACACGTATGTGTACCATTGAACCGTGTGCGGTTTTTTTTCATATTATTGTTTGAATTAACTGAAGAGTGCAAATTTTGTTTCGTCATTTGTTTTATTTCAGTTGAACTCAATTAAAAACTGGAATTTGATAAGCAGTCATAATTTGAAACTCAGTTGAAAAATTCATTGTAAATAATTGTTTGATTGTTTATTTTGCAGCTTCAAAGAGTAGGATTTAAGATGTCACTACAGCAGCAACAACAAAAAGCGGTCGCACAAAATAATAATGGCGGCCCCTTGCAAAAAACGCCACCGAAATCAGTAAAAACGGCCAACGGCACTACATCGGGCAGCAATGGATCACATTCAAAAAAGAAAGTCACCGATAAAGAACGAGAGAAAGCCGAACGAGAAAGTCTCGTACTATGGTATCATCCGATTCAAACGATTAAATACAGTACATTGGAATCGGTGGAATTGCTACGAACATATGGCAAAAAGTATGTGACTTCTCACACAATTTCCACTTAAATGACTCAAACTGATCAATCCTTCTTTCTCTATTTTTTTCAAATAGGACTTTAGAGAATAAATTAACTATTACAATTATCATTGCCACGATAGCAGTATTAAGTGCACTGTACCATATTCCGGGCAACCATCAAGCACTCTTCACCGTTGTACGACAAAATTTATGGTTTGTCGTGTATTGGGTCGGCTTGGGTGTACTGTCATCAGTCGGTTTGGGTACCGGTTTGCATACGTTCCTATTGTATTTAGGACCTCATATAGCCAGCGTTACATTGGCAGCATATGAATGTAATTCATTGAACTTTCCATCACCACCCTATCCAGATGAGTAAGTGCATCATTTTTTATGGCAAAATACTAATTGATATGCGTCTAAAAAAAATCAAAACTAATTTTCGTTCATTTTCCATTAGAATCATTTGTCCCGAAGAAACAGCAGCGAGCTATGTTCCATCGTTATGGAGTATAATGAGTAAGGTGCGTTTGGAAGCATTTTTATGGGGAGCTGGTACTGCGCTTGGTGAACTGCCGCCATATTTTATGGCCAAGGCATCACGTTTGTCTGGTTATGATCCAGATGATGCTGAGGATCTCAAAGAATTTGAAGAATTGAATAAAAAACGTGAACTGGGCGTTGAATTAAGTTTGTTGGAACGTGCAAAGATCTTTATGGAAAAAGCCGTTGAAAAAGTCGGATTCTTTGGCATTTTAGCATGTGCAAGTGTGAGTAAATTGAAATTTAAATTTCGTTCACATAAAACAAATAATAATCGAATTCATTTCTTTTTTTTTATTCAACATTTTAGATTCCGAATCCATTGTTTGATTTGGCTGGTATAACATGCGGTCATTTTTTGGTTCCATTCTGGACATTCTTCGGTGCAACGTTGTTGGGAAAGGCTGTGATAAAAATGCATATTCAAAAGGTGTTTGTTATCATTGCGTTCAGTGAAACATTGGTGGATAAAGCGGTCGATGTACTGGGATTGGTGCCAGCTTTGGGACCACGTTTACAAGAGCCATTCAAAGCATTCCTACAAAATCAGAAAACACGATTGCATCGTTCAAGCAAAGAGCCACCAAAAGAGTCGAAAAATTTAATTGCCAAACTCTTTGAGTACTTTGTCGTTGCGATGATTGTCTACTTTGTCATATCAATTGTAAATAGTTTAGCCCAGAGCTATCATAAAAGAATTCACAAAAAGAAATCCACCAAGAAAGACTAAACGAGCATTTTTTTGCCAAATCAAATTTTACTACGATAGCAGAATGACACAAATTTCGACGTTTGAATCACACGTTTTTCTACAGTTTATTGAGATAGAATGAATGAGTTTTATTTTGCTTTAGTATAATATCAAAATCGATGCACTCAATTGAAATGCATTATTATTTAAACAATTATTATCAGGTGAGAGTGTGTGGTCACCCTAGCGTTGCGTGAAAATTGTACAAAATGAAGTGCAAGACAACTTCTGATTCGATGTATAAATCTATTCCAAATAAGTTGCTTTTTCGAGAAAAAAAACGTTAAAAAAAGAAGAGAAACAAAAAAACAACATAGTAGAACGATTTGTCTTACGATATAGATGTTTAATTTATTCGAAATTCCATTTGAATGGCACCCAATAAAATGAAAAAAAAAAATTAAAAAATTAAATTGGATCGATGTGCATGTATGCCGGTGCAAAACATACACCGTCAATTTAAAACTAGATCAACCAAAACCCAAGTCAAATCTCTTCCGTCGCCCACTACAGTACAATACAGTACGGCGACGAAACGAGTGTTATTGTGTTTGTAATTTCATATAGCTAAATTGTGAGGATAGACAATTTATTTAAGAAATTAGCATATAAGCCCATCACTTTAATAAATGAATTTAATAAAAAGAAAACTGAACCAATTGCAAAAGACCACAATAGAATCATATTTATAATAAAATACGCTTTTCTGCCAGCAAAAAAAAATGAACGATGGCCATACCTTTCGATCAATTTATACACAACAAAAATGCAATTACTGAAACAATAATATGGTCATTACAAATGAATAGAGTATATGGTGAATTCCGATTGGACACATAAAATAACTTCTTCAACTTTCCTCTCGATTTCAATCCAAATTGATCTCTCAGGAAAGCATGGATCGCGGAATATGCCGAATTTTGTATTTAAGAATTTATGAGCGTTTGGCAAATTCAATAGAGTTTCTGTATTTATTGGGTGCGTGAAATGTCTTTATAAAAATAATCCCATGAATTATTCTTCTTGTTCTTTCTTACTTAGAGTTTTCCTCAATTTTTTCCCATAATTTACATCGACATTTCATCTGTTCCTTGTTTTTTACAATATTGAAACTGGTTGTGTGGTTCACCAAGTGTTCCGAATCAAACCAAATATGTCTAAACATGATTTGCAGGCAACATTCATTTAAAAAAAAAAAACAAAGAGCAACAAAATAATATTTATACACGGAAACGTAGAATATTTTTACGATAGAGTTCCGCTTTTTTGTATACAAACAGATGATATCGATGATAGACTTACCGTAAATAGTTACAGTTCATTTTAAGTGTCCATACCTGTTTAATGTGTCAATTTGATGATTTTCCGCTCTCAAATTGATCGATAAAAACAAATTTATAGAACATTCTATGACAATGCCATTTTACAAGTTTTTTACGTATATTTATGCATGGAATTACAACAAAATCAATAAACAACAACAAATCACTTTTAGAATGAATCGTGTATTTATGTTTTTTTAAATGTGAAACGTTTTATTTGTAAAGAAAAAAGAAATTATAAACAAAACTATTTATTGCATCTGTGCAATGAGTTTGAAATAAAGTGTGAATTATATTATGTAAAAATCCCAAGAAAATGGAAAATATACTTATGGAACATTAAATCATTTGAATTGAATGATCACAAAAAAAATGTTTTTTATTCTCATGATCAGTTATTTTCAGCGAAAAAGAGAAACAAAATGATGAAACCAAAATTTGAAACCAAAAAAGCAATATTATTGTCTGTCTATACAAACTGTAACTGAGTAATCGGGACAGGTAAGTAAAAACAGTTAAATATTTGTACATTCTGAACGTTATAAAAATTTCTTGATGCATGAGATATATATATATAGTTTGGACCTGTGCTTGAAACCGGTGAAATTTAAAAAAAATAATCGTTGATGGAAATGGCCGCCAGCCGACCATTTTTTGATTTTTCGAGAGTAAAAGTTTATGTTCACACATTCTTTCAGTTAAATGAGATTTTTTTTGAGCTTTTTTTAGAAAACTACAAATAAACAATGGAAAATGCATTCCAACAAATAATAACCTTTGGATATATTCATTTTCAAATTTTTCAGGTCAAAATTGAAAAAGCCATTTTTGGTTTCATTGTAAACGGGTTTGTTTTTGTTACTGTATCTAAGTGCTTAAGTCAGAAGTTTTATCATTTTACCTTTCAAAGTTAAATCACATTACATCTAACAATGTTAGACTAACATAACACGTGATCGATTTCACTTTTTGTTGTTTTCTTCAAATCTAAAATGTCAACTGAAAGAAGAACAATAAACACAAATCGAATGAACCAAATTTTCTGGAAATGTTTTTTTTTTTTATTTTCTCGGATTTTATGCAATAAATCATCCGCACAGTTTCCCAATTAAAAACCAAAAAAGGTGATCAATTTCAAAATTGCGCAGCACATTTCATAAAAATCTATTCGTTATCTTCTTCATCATCATCATTGCTGCTGATTCTGAAGTAACGTAATTCGTAGCTATCTTTTTCGTTAGCTACAACACGGATCCAGTCACGAAGGCTGTTCTTTTTGAGATACCGTTTGGTCAAATATTTCAAGTATGCTTTCGAGAAGTGGACGTCTGAGTTGACGATGACCTTCATCTTTTGACGTTCCAGCGTGACGTTGTTGCCCAAGTTGTTGACTTTACCGTTCACTTTGATGTGTTCGACCAAGTATTTTTCCTATTTTGCGAATGAAATCAATGCAAAATGAGTACACTTGTCAATCAAACTAAGCTTCAAATTTTAAATACTTACAAAGTCAGCAACATCCATGATGCTATCTTCAGCGATGTTGGTGCAATCGATGGCAAAACGAAGTTGAATCTTCTTCTTTTTCAAGCCCTTGCCACGCAATTGTTTCTTGCTAACGCGTCCTTTACCACTGGCAGCGGCAGCTTTAGCGTTGACACCACGTTTTTTCGGTTGTGGCTTGGCAGCGACAGCCTTGACGGTTTTAGCATCCTTGCTTTGTTCTTTTGCTGGTTCAGCAGCAACTGGAGCTGGGGCAGCCTTCTTTGGCTCTTCTTTCTTTGCTGGTGCAACCTTAGCTGGAGCGGCCTTCTTTGGCTCTTCTTTCTTGGCAGCTGGAGCTTTCTTTGGCTCCTCTTTCTTTGCCGGAGCAGCTTTGGCTGGTGCAGCTTTGGCTGGTGCAGCTTTTGCTGGTGCAGCTTTTGTTGGTGCAGCTTTTGTTGGTGCAGCCTTGGCTGGTGCAGCTATTGAGTCAATAAAAAAACAATACAAAACACTTTAGTACACACATCACTTACAAACACTTTGAGTACATTCTCATGATAAAAATTACTAAAACATTCGTACCTTTGCCCTTGGTTGCTTCCTTGGCTACATTAGCGGCGGCAGCTGGTTTTGGTTTTGATTCAGCTGGTTTGGCGGCTTTTTCAACCTTTCCTTTAGCAGTTGCTGGTTTTTCAGCTTTTGGCTTTTCAGTAGCCTTTGGCTTTTCTGTCTTTCCAGATTTCTACGGAGGAAAAAACAAACGTACACACATTAATTTAAATTCGATGTAGATTTGTTGACATGCTGCAGCTATATTGAGGTTATGTGATATTTTGGTCTCTTCCTATGACATAGTTTCGAACGAATTTTACTCGTGTAAAAAATCTCGTAAAAAATTATTCTCTCAATTAAAGTGTTCACTTCGTTGATTAATTGAACTTATAAATTTGGCAAATTTGAATCTGCTTTCGAAATTCACATGGCATTACAAAAATGTGAAGGGAAAACATTTCATACTTTAGTTGAAATGCTGTCAAACGAATATTGAGAGATATGGGCAGCAAATCACAATTTATTGTATCGTTAATTATTTGAATCATCCGCCGTGAAAATCACCAAAATTCACATAAACCACAATATTCAGGGTGTTAAAAATAAAATGTAACGATAATTTTTCACAAATTGCGTAAAAAACTTGAAAAAAATCGAAAAATTGTGCACAACTCACAGTCGGTGCCATGTTATCGGTACCACTTTCAGTGTAAAAAGAGAGAATCGTTCAATGACATACACCGATCGAAATGTTAAAATGACATTTCATCCAATATGGCGCCGAACATTCATGTGCTCGAATAAATTGGAATCGGATATTCCAGATGGAGTTCGTTCAATGCTCTAATGTCACATTTTAATTTTGAAATTATTCTTTTTTTTTCACTAAAGATTTTATACCATTTTTTCTCATTTAATATTTTGATAAATACTTTTTGTGAAATTCAACTGAATTTTTCTATTTTAATTTTATATAATGAATATTATTCCATATGAAAAATCATTTTTTTTCCTTGTAATCCCATAACTTTTGAACGACAAATGAGTGTAGTGCCAACATGAAACTTGAAAAAAATCCCATTCGATCCATTTCATTGGCCACACACACACGTATACAAATGTAAGTGGTCCGAATCATTTCATCGTATATGTTCGTTGCTTACAATTTGAACGCAGTTACGAATTGTACAACAATAGCATAGACTCATTCGAGAGAAAAACAGTGCAAACAACAGCTGAGTGACGAATAAATGACGAACGGAGTGAACGAGAGAGAAAATTAACAAACAACTTAAAGGCAACCAAATAGAGAAACAGAGCAGCAGAGGAGATTGTTAGCTGTACATAACAACATAACATACAAGTTTAAGAACGACGAACAAAGTATTAAGTTGAAGAGAAAAAATTCAACCAAACACATTTTGTGTAGCAGAGAGAAAACTAATCGCAAATAAAAACGGAAACACAACGTTAAATTGTTAATTTCGTAACCATTTGCGAATATTACAAAGAGAAAATAATTGAATATATACTTTTTTTTGGGAGAGAGCAACAGCCTAAACAAAGAGAACTAAAAATCGATAAAGTGTGCATCGCATAATAAAGCGAATTCAAAACAAAATATTTTGAATATTATTATTTTCTTTTCGATAACGTAAACAAGCGAACAAGTGAAGATGAAGTTTCAATACAAAGAAGAGTGTCCATTCGAAAAGCGACGAGCTGAAGGCGATAAAATCAGACGAAAATATCCAGATCGTGTCCCAGTAAGTAAAGTTATATCTAAATTGATGAAACGCTCCATTGTACAACAGATATTATGTTGTCTAGCTAAATTATCAGTTTCATCGTGTACATTTGCATTCGTTTGGACTCTCACCAGCGGGTGCGTTCGCCATTATTATTTTTGTTTTTCTTTTGTTTTGATATTTTGCCAATACATTGCGTCGCACAACATTCGCCGTTCGAAAGTATAGCATTTGTCTATTTTAGCAACATCTTCGTTCGACACATTTAAATTCAATATGTCAGACATTTTATTTTCAATATAAATATAAAAATCTGCAAAATCATTACGTTGCGACAAATGGCGAAATAGCTACGGTTGAAAAAAAAAGTTATAGAACATTCGACCTTAAGGCGACCATTGTTCTTTGCCCGTCGTCATTTTCAACATTTTTGCCCGGAAGACAATAGACCACTTTTTTGGAATGAATAGTGGCATTTGGGAGAGATAACATGCTTTCGCACATTTTTACATATGGAATGATTTTTTTCCTTAGTTTGGATTCATGCGTTCCTTTTGTGTCTTTGTTTTTTTTTTTGTTCGTCAAATTTTCTACGTTGTTTTAAATAGCCAAAGGCAAAGAAAAAACGAAATACACTCACACAACGATACACCACAAATACACATTAGCATTAGAGCTATGAACATACTGTGTATACGGCGTGAGTGACTGAATAACCAAAATTCATAAATAAGTGAACTTTGTGCGCACAATATAATATCCACACGATGAGCGTGTGTATGTATGCCTGACACTGTGTTGTTAACCAACGACACAAAAACATATGCTTTGACTTGTGTGTACACACAGTGACTGTGCTATACACACGTTCAATGGGAGAGCCAGTTTTATACAGAAATCATCAAATCTATGCCTGTTTTTTTTTTACTTGTGTTCGCACTAGTTTTATTGTCTTTCTATCTGGCGTATTGGTTTTACTTACGTACAACAACAAAACCATCGTTTCGTTCGGCTCTGTTTTGATGATTAACCAAACAAATACAAAAACAAAACGACAGAGGCACGTTTAAAATGCACACAGAGAGATAGAATGAACAAAAAAAAAACGAAGAAACGCAAAAACAACAACAAACGCAATTTGTATTGATATCAATCGCGGCCTGAAACAACACTCTCATTTTTATGATTTAATATATATTCACATCAAACATTTTCATATTTAAATGAAAAAAAGCATAATGAAAAAAGAGAATACAAAAATCACATGCTTACTAACCTCAAACGATTACCAAGCATTACTCAAAAATCAAGGTCAGAATAGCGAATGAGAAAGAAAATGCACACACAGTGCATAAATATCATTTGATTATCCATTTTATGGCGGTTTTCAGTGCGACAAACGCGACACTTTTTTTTTTAATTACTTGCAATTTATCGCTATGGTCGATCTGATTTTTCAATAATCATGTGAATGCAGTCTCAAAAGCGATCGAATCATTTGATTTTGATTAAAACAGCCCCAAATTTTACATTTTTTTTATTCATAATGCATATGTTACTCAATTAACTGAATCAATGGGTCGTTGCGATATTGCTGCTGCTCTTGTTGCTATTGCGCAATTAATTTTTATTTTTGCATATTGTGTGATGCGCATTCAAAATAAAACCGAACGCCAAAAATACGAAAAAGATCGAACAAAAAGCTTGACATCCAAAAAGACCAAAAAGACGATCGTCTGTTTATGTGCAACAGTTTGAAAACAATATCATTCTTCGAAATAATTTGTATAATCGATTTGTGATTCAACAAAATATATTGTATAATCTTGTTTGTATTTTTGTTTGTATGAAAATGGGCTCGATGATCATACGATGAAACATTTTATGAAAACAACGGGCTAGAAAAGTTGAAGCGATAGAAAAATGGGCAAACAATTCACTGAAATAGAAACGAAATAGTTATTTCGTCACATGATAAATGATTTCCGATTGCGATGACACAGAACAAAATCGACGAATAAAAGCAGCGAAATCGATTGATTTTCTGATTAGTATGTGATTAATACAGATGTTTCTCAATGCCAGTAATGTGATCACAGCGAAGCGATTCAATGGAATTCGTTGTTACTTTCGACGCGTTCGAAAAAAAATATATATATTCAAGTTCAACTCTTCGTTGGCAAAGAAATGGTCAAAGAAACCGTGTTTGTGTTTGCTTTCAAGTAAACGTACGATAGAAAAATGTAAACAAATTTATAAGACAAATACAAATCCCACACAAAATTCTCTTCAAACATAACTTCAAAACAGTATTTATATTGTGTGTGTGTGCGCTCGCTTTGTAAAACTTGTCAAAGGTCATTTTGCGATAGAAATGTGCAATTTCTAGCTATTACGTATAGACAGATAATTTTTTTTGCTATTTTTAACGTACTCTCATTCAATAAATAGAAGTTGTCTGTTGCTCAGAAACTACTTGCTCAGGCTGCAATTTGATAAGTGAAAAAAAAGAGTAATATATTTGTATGTGATTTAGAAATCTAATAAATGTAAATCCATATCAGTTGGTTAATGTATTTGCTGTATAAAGTGTGAAATCAATAGAAGCGTGTGTCAATCACGCTGTTTTTTATTTTTGTTGTTGATTTTGAGGTCAGTTTGTCCCCCCAGCAACTTTCGTGAGATCGTTTGCCCAAAAGCAGTTGAAACACATACACACATACCGTCTGGCCAAGATTGATCTATTATTGATTTGGAACACAAACTTTAGGCGCAAAAAAAGACTTATCAATCATTGAAGTAAAAAGCGTTTTAATGTTTTTTCAAAAGATATTTTGAACCATATTTTTGTTGAATGCGCAACGAATGCGCTCATTTCAAATTATTATTTATGGTTTGAGTTACCGAATGCAGGTGAACACACGTTGTTGCATGAAGTAAACGTCATTACAGCACCTGATAAGTTGTAGTTCGGATATCATATTTCACTTACGTTTCTTTTTTAAAATGCGCACAGTTTTTTTTGTTCATTTATCGTATTCTTTTGTTTCGTTGACTTTTGGTTATTGCTGATTAGATGAATGTCTATTATTCCAGATCCCATAAATTTCATGAAATTACAGATAATGTGGCTTTGTTATTAGAATGCAAAGGAATTGCTATCTTTATTTGCATGAAATTTCATTTTTCAGAAAGAAAAATCTTTAGTACAGTGAGTAAAATTACAAACTGTTAACTCAACAAAAACAGCGTTGTTAATATTTTGAAATGTATTCATTGAAAATGGATTTATTTTTAGAGAACTTGCATCATGCCAATACGAATGATTTATTAACGTGTTATTGATTTTCAGAAAATCATTTTCATTTATCGATGGAAATATACTTAGGACGAAAAAAGGATCGACTGAATGTCATCACAAAAAATGCTTTTTTTGAAATAATGTTGAAATAATGTTTTTTTTTGTTTGTTTCAATTACAGGTGATCGTTGAAAAGGCGCCCAAGGCACGGATCGGTGATTTGGATAAGAAAAAGTATTTGGTACCATCGGATCTAACTGTAGGGCAATTCTATTTCTTAATTCGTAAGCGAATTTACTTACGTCCAGAAGATGCTCTTTTCTTCTTTGTCAACAATGTGATTCCACCAACATCCGCCACCATGGGCTCCCTATACCAGGTAAGAAGCAAATTTCACAGTAGAAAATGGAATATTTTTCAATTTCACAAAAAAAGAACTGAAAATTCCAATGTTATTAATAAAAATGGTTGTTTTCTTCTAGGAGCACCATGAAGAAGATTACTTCTTGTACATTGCATATTCGGATGAGAATGTCTACGGCAAATCAACGAAATAGGTCAATCTGGTGAGATAGACGATTGTTGAAACCACGAAAAAAAAATGAAAAAAACAAACAAAAAGAGTGAATTGTGATTGATCGAACCGCATATTCTCTGACTAAACAACTGCTTTTATGGAAATAGCAAACAACAACAACAAAAATCACAGTTTGAAAAAGGAGCAAAACAAATGATTATCTATCTTGTATTCTATTTATATTTATATATTTGTGCGGCTAATAATATTCTCATTATTATTTTTTGGATTAGAACCCCAATTTCAAACATTTTTTTTCTTCAAAGTTTTAAGTTTTGACATCGCAAACGAACATCGTTTAGGACTTTCAACCAAATAGAGCAAACTATCGAGGTTTGATATTTATTTGTTGATTAGGATCAGGAAATTAGCCGCAGTAAGAATAAGAAACAAAAAAAACTACACTGAATATTTGATAAAAATAAATGAAAATCTACCGAATTTGAAAACAAGAACCATTCGAATCTGACACACTTTTTTCTACAATGAAAAACCCAAGAGCGCGAGAAAATTTGGTACAAAAAAAAAAAAGATTAGTTCATAAAAAAGGCTACATTTTTTCTCTCTCCTTCAAAGCAGAAGCACATGTTTATAATATTTTTCAGTATATTCTAGACAATACTATTTTTTTCATTTTTCAATTGCAATAGTTAACAAATTTTATTTTAATTTACAAATAAATCTTTATCGAAAAAAAAAAAACGGATTAAGCTAATATCCACCAAAAAAACATATATAGATGATCCATTATTTTCTGTGAACTTCATTTTAATCATAATTTGTGAATTTGTATTATTTCCCCGAAAAATTAAATGAAATGTTCATTAAAATAAATATGAAATCGTTTCGATACGACTAAATGTGTTAAAATTAAACGTGTTTTGAATGTTTGGAAATGTGTTGAAAGAGAAACATTGAAAGTGTTAGAGAGACAGATCAAAATGGAAAAAAATTCATTTATGATTTTTATTCTTTAAAATCTTTGCGAATAAAAACCTATACACAATATTAAATATAATTTTTTTAGAACGTAATCGATATTATTAAAGGACATGGAAAAACTGAACAAAAAAATCAATAAAAATCCATAAAAATCTTGAAATTGTTTTGTGTTTCATTCGGAAATTGTTTGAACAATGATGAATTCATCAATTAAATGGATTTGTTTTCTGTTTCCGTTGAATTTTTAAATGAAGTTTAGGCGATAATTTTGTTAAACAAATCACGAAACATAGCGCCAACATATGACATCATATTCGAGCAAGTTGTATGTCCAAAGCCTAGTATTATATTGTGCAATATAACCATCCCGTATGAACCTTTGCCAATATTTTCAGCTATATCCGAGCTAAAATATACTATTTTGAATACTTGTTTAAAATACCGATCTAAAGATGTTGTTTTAACATCTTTCCCGGCATCCAATTCGTTTTGAATGGAAAGTCTCGTTTTGGCCGATTCAAGTGCAAAATTTAATTTGGTTATTTCCTTTGCGTTAATAAACAAAAAACATAAGATTTGTAGAAATCTAGCAAAAAATGAATAGAATTACCTCTCTAAAAAGGAGTCCAGTTTTTCTTGTTTTATGTCTCTACTCATAAATGTTTCTTCTGACTTTAATTCACTGAAATTACAAAAAAAAAAAAACATTAATAAAAGTATATTTGAAAATCAAACTATTGATGCCTATAATACGGTGTGTCATCATCATTCATGGTGAAATTAATAACAGAGTCGGATAATTCTAACTCTTTTTCCATATTCATAATTGCTAACACTATTTTTACTCAAAAATATTCAAAAAAAAAAAAAAAAAACTAATCGAAACAGTCGTCTTTTGTGCACAAGAGATTTGATTGAAATAATATGTTTAAGAAAAATGCTTACTTCGATCGTTGGTGAAACTTCTTTTTATTGCTTTTTGACATAAACTTAAAATGTTAGAGATATTTTTGAAAATCAGATGATCAGATGAGAAATTGTTGGTTCATTAGATTCAGTATTGAAATAGATATGAGGTGATGTATCAGACGATTTTATCCTAGATTTAGTTAAGTATGAAACACTGCTTCATTGTGGTCATTCACTCATGGTAAATTGATGGATTTTGTTTCTAAAATATGAAACTGGTCTGAAGAAAAATCTGAAAATGTATGTTTTGTGTTCTTATAAAATGTATCAGTATTGAACCAAAAGCATCATCTTACTTTCGAAATGTGTTATTTTGTAATGTGGCCATTTTTATAGACTTCCATATGCTATAGATGTCCTATTAACATCGAAATATTAACATATCTTATTACTAA